ATGAAAACCTAAGTTTTGAATAAATTTAGAAACGGTATTACGAAGACGATTTCCGAGAACGTGAGAGAAAAAGCAGACGAAAACATTTCAACCGTTGAAGCTTTAGTACACTACTGCCCAACTAAAGTCGATTTAAACAATATCAACAACGAAGAACCAAACTCAAGTGAGGCATTGATATTAATTGACATGTAATATCATTGTTAGTCACCATGCCAACGATTGTAACATTTTTATGGTCAATATTGGCATGAAAATATATTTCATTTGGTTTCAGCATCAAAAAATGAAAATGACGAAGTCGTTACCAGTTCAAGTGAGCCATCATATTTTGAAGTAACTACGGACGGAGGTAAAGGTAAAAATTTAATAAAATACCAATTTTCAAGCAATATATATACAATAACAGATATATAGATGAAGACTTAGAATTACCGTAATGATTTTGGTCACAGCAGCACTATTTCAATCATAATCTTTTCAGAGAAAAGCAGCACATCAAATTGTTCCGTAGAACGAGGACATCTAAACCAAATAGAAACCGAAAGAAGTTTTGCATTGACGGGAATGGCTACAGATGAGGTACAAAAATAAAATCAAAAAACGAAAATTGGTTGAAATATGACGTAATGGTATATTACTCAACCTTCTTTAAGTTGACATTCCTGATGTTTTCTGAACCACACTGGCATTATATTATTAATTTACGTGGCGGTACAAATATTTGTTGCAGATACCACAAATAATTGCGAGAAGGCATCCATATTTGGCAGCATCCGAGCCCGTACGACACATGGCTGAATGTTTGAGACAAGCTCCAATTTCCCGGCCAAAAGAAAAATTATCTCCGGTCGGCAGTAATGCAATACATGAAGAAACTGCTGTACAACAACATAGAAGGTAATTGTTACGATTTTTATTTTGAGTGCGACAATGTAAACGAGTAAAGCATAGTCATGGAATTCTGAATCTTCCTCAGTATCAGGCGGTGTAAAAGTTCATCAGAAGATGTTCCTGCTGAAGAACGACACATCAGCGATTCCGAATACTCTGTCTCAGAGTGTACACCTTTGAAGATACCCCAATTGGAGGAAACAGCTTTTGGTATGTTGACAGAATAAGTGGCAAAAAATTTCAGTTTCATTTTCAATCAATAAATTTATTGTTTTGGTGGGGATTCGATTAAGTTACACGCGCTCACTCACCATTACTACGTACCATTGGCTTATCAGCCAAGCACATGGACCAAATGTCTGAATCTGCGGCTACTCTCGTACTGAGCAGAATTACTATCGCAACAACACTACGTCAGTAGGGTAAAACTAACCCGTCTCTAAACAAATTGACGGACAACTACTGAAATCGTAGGGGAACGCTTATGATACCGAATTATAGTAGTGCAACAAACGGGTTTTTTATGCTTGTACATCAATTACGATGTATTTGCAACATACTTGATGAATTTTTTCTTATATTAACTCCATAATAAAAAGTACTGTTATTTTATAGGATTGCTAAAGCATAAGAAAACATCGCCAACATCTGCATCAAACGTTTCGTTGGAAAGGTAATCTATTGCTAAATATTTGCTTTTTTAAAGCCAATTGCCCTTAGACAATTACAAAGTAATATCCAGGTATCTATTGCGTCTGTAATATTTTATGTATGCTTGATCGCATAAAGAAATATGCAAGAGTATATTTCAGTTTGGTAATGAGCAAATTAAAAAGAACAATAGCGTATTGTATCGAATTATATATATTATATTTACCTAATAATTGTTTTACAACTTCGCTCCTTCACTAGCGGCCATTAACACGATTAGAGCAGTTTAAAATTTTGGAGCTACCAAACAAAATTTATAACGCCCCGAAGAGATTATATTGCAATACTGAAAATAGATTACATCTAACGATATTCAACATTTCAGAATCAAGGAAACTAATGATATTTTAGTGAGAATGAAGGAACGAATTCAACGCTTAGAAAGCATTAGCGACGAATCCAACTCGATCAAGTCAGAACAAACGGTATGATGCATAGTAAAAAAAATAATCTTAACATCATCACAAACGTGAGAAATGTTATGTTAATAACAACATTGTAATTTCAGGTATATAAACAAGAAAGTTCTGCGATGTCATCGTGTAATAAACAAATGAAAGCATCTATTAATATCCCAACATGCTGTATATCACAAAATCTTCCAAACATGGCGTCATTACCACTCACTTCCGTGAAATCAAGAATAGAAACAATATCAGATGATGATAAAAATAGATATATTCATAAAAATTATGGGAAAAGTGAAATCGCAGATTTGAAAACCAAATATTCAAAACAAGATGACAAGTTTAGAAGGCTATTGTATCAAAAGATTAAAGAAAGAAGCTCACAAAATGGGGGTGTATCGCAGGTAGAAGTGCCACCAAATCCTGTTGAATCACAATTTACACCAATATCAAACTATTCGACATATGTGAGTTGCGACATACATATACCCCAGGGTAAAAGTACAATGACAAATGACTATGTAAAACACGAAAACACAAACATGGTTGAGAACAAAGTCATAGAATATTCTTCACAACCAGTAGCGTCCCCAACACGACGAAGACTGCGAATTATGCCATTTACCTTGCCACTTCCAAAAAGCACAAGGTACAGCAGTGAAGGAATATTCGGGGATAGCCAATTTGGTATTGATCATGAAGATATCGCGGGTTATGAAATTGATTTACGGGAAACTCAACTTCACGAACTGTCGGATTCATTGTCTGTCAACTGCAATGAAGTAATAACAAAAAATCAGCAGAAGCAACAGACCAACATATCGAATAACAATCTTGAAGTTGTGTATTCTGCTGAAACTCAAGAGAAACATGATGATAAAACTGAAACAAAAATTGAAAATATTGCAAACTTTTCAACAAAATCAGATAAAAAATATGAAATTGAAAACTCAGCTTATCAATCGAACAACCATCAATATGACAAAACGACTAATTTGAAGAAAATAGAATCTCAAGCACAAGTGTATCCATATATTACTGATTACGTGAAGCCAAAATTGTCGCAGATAAGTGAGATACGGCCGCACACGAATACCATTCAATATAATAAAAACGAGTCACCTATTTGTAACGAATCCAACGAATTCGACGTTTCTTATACATATTCAACTGACTCAAGCATTCAAAACACTAACAATGAAAACGGTTGTGGTTACCTTGACGAGATTACTGGTCAATATTTCGAAAAATCCGATGCTGAAAATAAGAGTAAGAACAGATTACAAAACATTATTTTTCAGCAGGAACAGATTAAAACAACAATTTTGAATGAAATGCATCTTGTCAGGTCAAGATATTTTCAATCAGATGAAAATGAAATATCTCAAAATTTGTCGAGATCGCATGAAAACACGCAAATCGGAAAAAAATTCAGTCGAGATCAAATATTTTCCTCTACAATGTCAGATATGGAGGAAGAATATAGTTCAGCCGATGACGAAACTCTTTGTGATTCAGTAGAAACAATTTCCGTACTTGGAGCGAGCGACGATAGCATGGTTACTCAACAAGGAAGCGAGTCATCCTGTTACAGCCCGATTAGGTGTAATAATAACTCTGAATCGAAACTAAACTCATGTTTTAACAACTCAATTGCATCTGGTTACAATTACATGTCTGATATTGACAATAGCATGCCAAAGGCTATAGATATCAACCGCAAAACTTGCGCTGCTCAAAGATATTGGAGAAAGAATCCCGACAATAATTTGAACAAATTTAACTACGTTTGTGATGATTATGAGACTGACTTATAAGTAGATTATTTAGTGATGTCTTTTGATCCAAAACTTAAACAAGATTAAAGAGTTTTAAATTGCATAATCTCTTCTTAATTGTTAGAAACTATTGCACTAAAACAGCCACAGAAAGAAGTTGTTTTTATTCAAATGTATTTGATAAAAGAACGTAGAAAATATTTGAACTCACGAATTTGTATAATCAATAATTTCAAGAGCTTTTGCAGTTGCATCTGCGTTAAAATGAAAACAAAAAGCAAAGGAAACATTTTTTTATAATTTGACCATAAAATGAGTTAAATCGAATCTATAGCTGAAAATAATTTTGGAATAACTCTGAATGAACATGTTTTTGAAATATTAGACTGAATTTGTTAACTAATTAAATGGTTGTACTTCGGTATACGATCTAAGCGGTGATTTCAGTTGGGGTTAGGGACTGAATACTATGACAATGAGATAAAACGCATATCAAAGTGGCACCACAATTAAGACCACGTTAAGCAGCGAGGTCGCATACGAAAAGGGTACGCACCTATTAAACCCATATATCGAGCTCTGATAATTTTTTTAATGGATACTTGGTAGATTTGATAAGAGGCACGTACAAACAGAAGAAAGAACGTTTCAACATACCACAATTTTCGATCAAATTCTAAACCGAAAATACCGGTAATTACAGATTTCCTCAGGTGTGTAGAAAATTCATCATTACCACTTACATATACAGGTAGTTTAGTTAATTTTTAGTAAAACAATCTTATTTATTGATAATTGAATGAAATTCAATAAACGCTTTAACTTGAATGATATCCTGTTAATTCAAGTGTTTTAATTGAAAACCTGATATTTTTGCGGTATTGAGCAATTTCGATTCTTCTCCCGGACGAATGAAACTTTAGTGTTCAAATATTCGACGTAAATATTCAAACAAATTTTAAGGTTGTTTCTCATATGTAGAATATCAACACGAAAATATTTTCTTAGCGTTATATAGAAGGTATTAAATTACTTTAAAATGCAACTGAATTTAACGAGTAGAAGACCATTATGCCTATGTGACATTATATCTTATCTTTGCGCGGTTTGTAAAATAGGTCAGGAATAGTCAGAAACATGACATCGCGGAAGCCGCAGAAGAGGGATAGGAATGTCTGAGCTAAGAATATATATAATGAATAGTTTTGTTTGTTACGATTGGAACTTATTACGTAACCTATGCCTTTGGCGCTAATGTTTTGTGTATAAAAATAGTCGCAAATAAAGAACTTGAGCTGAAATAAGATTTGGAACAACTGAAAGATTCTAAATGGCACAATTTGTTTATATTGTTTTAATATTGTTGCCAATCTTTGGATTTTGTGAAATCATTGAAATAGGAGATGCACTGGATTCTGACAAAGTAAGTCGAAACTAGAAATAATATACGTTATATTGCGTGACATCCGATGTTGAAATCAGAAATAATAAATCATTCTCTGCACCTTTTAGTGAACGTTTTGGGAATTCAATAATTTTCAAAAATTGCGTAGAAAAGTTCAGAAATTTTAATTATTGGTTTAGGTTTTGCATTTTCTCAAAAACGATGTATTCAACTCTGATTATACTAGCAACGTTTGATATTTTAGGATGCGCGATTACATTCTTGTAGATAATTTAAAAATATCTTGGTGGAGATACCTTTATTTTATGATTTTACTAACTAAGTCGAGGTTTGTACAATGCGAAGTAGGAAAAAAGGTTTATCAACATGCGTACATTGCGCTTTAAATACTATTCAGTATGCTGCTATATGAAATGAAAATTCCGTTCCTGAAATTTGACATATAATAATAATAATACGTATTTATTTATTTATTTTTTGCATAGAAGAATGCACTTAACAATTGGATTCCTCTCGCAATATTACCAACAATGTTTCTCCCGCCTTGTGAAGATAAATTGTGAGTAGAGAGTTATTTTGTTACGTTTATTATTAACAGATCTTTATGAATATTATGTATATAAAAGCATAAGTAATCGGTGCTTAAGAAAAATTGTAAGGTAATTCTTGATAAACTTTGTGTAAATGATCTAGTTACTAATTCAAATAAATCTAAGCTGCCCACTTTGCACAAGACGAATGATTTTGGCACTGTAATTCTTTGTTACATCATAATGTCTCGTGCGCTTCAAGGGACAAATGTATGGCAGCGCATGCAATAGCGACAAAATCCGTTTGAGTCCAGCATTCTTCAATAAAACCGCAATGACCAAAACAAAAGATTGAAAACGGACAAATAGATAAAACAAACAATTGAATGAATATTTATGAGGAGATTGTCGCCGGCTAAAGATGAAACATATTCTATTATCGATTGGTTGTGTGGAATTGATCATGTGTTACACTGTTTATACGATATTTTAAGGAAAATGGGTGCTCCTGAAGTATGCGCACCAAGATGTCGCATAACCTGAACCCTAACCTGGTACACGCATACTTCAAGAGGTACGGAAAATGTGACACGATGTAATATATACAATATCAATGATTACTCGCGGCCCTTGAATAATTGTTTTTGTATGTTGCGGACCTTTCGTTCGTTGGAATTGTGCATTCTGCTATACGGACATTGGCGTTGCATGATTTCACATATTCTCGTATTTTTATGTAGCCACGAGCCAATGTGCCTCGACTCAGCACCAAAAAATATGAAAGATTTGTCAGATGGTTGTGATATTGTTACTTGTCTTTCAATGACTCTTCAAGTTCAAATAAACGGGAAAAATGTAACTCTATTGAATCCTGTCAGCGTTTTCGGATGGAAATGCAGGTAAGAGTATATTCAATCAACCATTTTTGAGATTATTTACACCTTTGATCCAAACGAAATCTAAGAAACTATAGATTCGTATCCTTGCGGTATACGCATGCGGATCAACCTGCACAAAGGCACAGAGCAAGAAGAGGTAGTTAGTTTTGCGCATCTTGCTCCACAACTTTTCATTTTAAGCGGGGGTGTTTCCAAGTTAAAGGGGAGGTAGATATTCTGGTATTAGTGATAAAACTATTTTTAACCTATAAAAATGTGTATATGTATTTGGACTCATGGGTGTTTGAAATCTTGCTTACAAAATTATAAAAATTTCGTAAATTGTCCCTTGGAAAATAAAGTGTCTGATGTAACTAGAATTCATAATTGCTACCCAAAATTAATTTGTCATATCTCTGAAGTGCTTCCTAAAGCCCTTCGTGATTCTAAATAATAAAAACGAATGTAATAAACATATTCCCAGAAAAACAAACAAGTCGGAATATTTAATAAAATTAATTTAATCCGATACTTTTGACTTCATTCACGTTCATTGTTGATATACTTTTTATTAAAGTAAAGTGAAGTGAAGAATTTGAAATTAGTATTTTTCGATGGTTTTCTCAGAAAAACAATAAAGCTACTTGTGGTATTTGCTATTAAGCAAAAAGACTAATTCAATAAAGGTGTCGTGGAAATTTGAATTTATTATGTTCTTTGGTTTTATCTATTTCACCACAATCTTTAAATGGGTTTTCTAATCTTCTTATCCTTGTTTACTGCTTGACAATTTAAAACCAGGCAAAACTTATTTACTACTTAATAGCATTGTTCAGATATTTGATCGAAGAATTTGATTCAATTTGGAATTGTATTTTATTTAAGGCGGCATTTTATTAAATTAATATATATATATGACTGAATATAGCAACTTTTATGACCTTGAGTCACATTTTTGTTATGGTTGAAATAAGCTTTATCATGATTTTAAAAAGTTTCAAAGCCGCAAAATGATGTTTGTGGAACTCAACATGGTATGAAAGTAATTTAGATAAGGATTGGGTTTCCTGTGTGTATCATTATCAACTCATGAATTCGTGATAACATTGCCTGAAGCCTAAACTATGATATTACAATTTTCAAGAGATTCAAGGTAAAATCGCTTACTATCTTAAACATGGAATGATTAAATATGCATGTTTCGGATTGTTAAACCAAGTTTTAGATCTTAAATAAAAGTTACTGCTGCTGTAGCTACTGCTGATGAGTTGTTTATTATAGAATCGTTTTATTGTCAATACACTCTGCCATGACCGAGTGATATCAATACAACTTTATGTTGTAATTAACAGAATTAAAATACAAAATATCATATTCTGACATTCTGATTTGAAATATATTTCTGATTTTAATTTTTTATTAAATTTTATTATGAATCAATATCAACTCGATTGTTGTGCTTGACAATGAATATGATAGTTGAGGACATGTCCTAGGGTAAATATCGTGAAATGTTGTCATCCGATTGTCTGAAATGATTTAACATAGCGTACAAACTTTAAAACGTGGTATAAAAATTTGCTGCATAAAAAGGAATATTTATTAGGATATCAATGACGAATAGTTTGGCAAATAACAATATTCTTTTATTCGTTTTCATTTTATTGAAAAAAAAAACATTTTCTTAATATATTACATTTTAGAGAACCGGGTTCATGCTTATCTGAAAAATGCACTAGTAATAAAACTCTTCAGTGTTTTATACGAAGAAAGAAAAAATGGTGTCCAAAATATGAATGTAGAACAAAAAGATGCGAAAGAAAACAATGGGAACCAATTGCAAACGGATTGTTTCCATTTGAAGAGGTTACGGTAAAGGTAAGAAATTTAATTTTATTGCATCCGAAAGATGGAATGATTAATCTTTCTGATTAAGAACAGAGTAAATCAATCGATATAAATTGTCAGACTAACGCATCTTCATAAGCGAAAACAATAAAAATACAAGTAAAATACAACCCATAAACTGACATCTATCAAAAATTATACGAACCGGCGTCGTATGAAAAAGGTAGATAATTTTTGCAATTTCTGGGAATTAAATCTTCTCTTGGTTTTATTTTTAACATAATTTATATTTATATTTTTTAAATTTACAGTATCCGTGCGGATGTGAATGCGTGGAGATTGACTATTCAGATTCAGACAAGAAGTCTTAAAATTTCTGAAACATCCGCCAACCTTAATCAGTGATCCGTGAAAGGTTCAGCTACTAAATTTGCTTTTAAATTTGTACATGACACTAACTATAAGTGTTGCTTTCATTTTATTATTGGTTGCCACTTTCGTATGCGTTTATTCGCTTGAAGACATTTTCATATGATTCAGTTTAGACTAATATCAGTGAGATCACATAATAGCTGAATCGCATACCAATTCGACACCCATTATTGAATGTTATTCTATTAATATTTTATCTATCAATGTCGCAAAATATGCTATATTTATTTAATGTGTTTATCTTGTATAATAATAGAAATTGCTTAATAAAGAAAGAAAAAAATCATGCCTTCAATTCTTAAAAATAGAATGCAATATAGGGATTTCAATTTTCGCCTGATGTCAATTTTTACCGCTGATGCATCATAGCTATCAAAACAATTCAAAGAAGAAGAAAATATAACACAGGGCCACAATGACACACATTTTTATAGTCTTCTAGTATTTAGTTGACGCCGGAAAAAAAATATTATTATCAGTTTTGTCACACATCTAAATTGTGAGATACTTGTTTAAATGTTTATAAAATATTATAAAAACCATAATGTAACACTGGTTTACTCAAGACAATCAGGTTTTGGCTATACAAACTTTAATGGCTATGAAAATTCCAAGATCAATTGATTGCAGGCTTCTTTCTATACGGATGTAATTAACATCAATCTAATTCGGTATCATGCTGTATTCAAAATGATGTCACATTCACATGCCAGAGCGATAAAGATTCGCATAAGGCTGACTTTTGATTCTTTGAATTTCTAGTTAAAACTAGACTGCTTCAGTTTTACTAATCTATTTATTAACGTGAAGTAAAAATAATTTCACTACTACAAAATTCAATAATCGTAGAGAACTCACGGTATATTTAATAGAATCTAATTGCCATTAGTAAATCGAAAACTACAGCTTTGCAATCAGTATCAGCTTCTAAATATTTCAGCCAGACTTCAACTTTTAGTAACATTGGGAGTGAAAAGGAATGAGAGCTACAGTAAAAATACAGAATGGACTTACATCTGAATAAATAATACAAATTAGAAAAAAAACACAATCGAATGGCGGAGAGTTCAATAAATTATCACCTTCCCACAAAAGTCAATCAGGTGGATAGGCCCATAAATAGGCCATGCCGCACAGAAAAATATCAAAGACGAATCATATTGCTGAAAATTGAAATGACATTCCGCAATCGACCCTTCCCATATATATAAAGGGAATAAAGTCAACGAGAAAAAAACAGCAACGGGATTAAATAGAAACAAACGGGAAGTATATATATCTATGAATTCACATAATTCAATAAAATCTTCAATCGAGTCTCAAGTACGTTTCCTTTGTTAATGCATATTCTTTCTGAAGTATTCATTTACTTAAAGCATGCCATTAAATGAAATAACATGAATTTTTATATATTGTAGATATTTTTTCCAGTTTGCTTTCGTTTTTTTTTATATCTTTTCTTTATGTAAATTGCATTCGTCGTTTTTCTCGATTTATTGCTCTCTTTTTTGCTTTTATACACTCAAGGTTCATCCTTTATGATTTACAACGATAAATAAAAAAATTACAGTTGAGTAATATTTTCTACACGGGGCCAAAACAACCTAATAACAACTCTATTTTGCATCAAAAATGCAGATTGCCAATATTCATATATATGTTGGGTAGTTCGTGCCTCAATTTCGTGCGTGATTAGACAATAGGTCTTCAATTTCAGTTCCGAGAAGGTTCAAAACTTCAAATCGATGTATATAAAACGATATTTAGTAATGCAAAATGTTATATCCTTATTACAAGTAATGAACACAGACTCATTACAAAACAGCACACGATTTATTTGGACGCCGTTAACTTAGTTTAGAATGGAAGACCACAAAACAGGAGAAAAAAACAAGTACACTGGACAACATTGTGACGTTTCAATACAGCACACGAGCAGATAAAGTTAACAAGCTCAGCAAAGTGTAAGTTCAAACATAATATCTAACACAGTACAATGGTTTTCAGAGATAATTTCTTATGAAACGATTGCAGTTCAGATTCAATAGTATCAAGTATCCGAATAGTACCATAACTTTAGGCAAATTTATATATTTTCTCAAAACGGTTATTGTTGTTGTCTTTAGTAGGAATGAATTTCATTCCAATGATGCATTATTATTTACGCCCTGCGGCCAGGGGTTTTACATATCGCATTAGATTTTTAGAGCAATATACGATCGGCAACAGACTTTTAGCGACATCTTGTGCATTAACGCGCATTTCTATTAACAGCCATATTGTATTATAATTCAATTCAATGCGACGTCGCAATCGTACTTTCAAACTCTTCGAAGTGAAACGTCGAAGTAGAAATTGCAGACCTTTGATCATGATAAAAATAAGTCTACACTTGAAAAGCATTTAAATTACTAAGCGCTTTCAACGTTCATATAATATATATTAATTTAAAAGTTTCAAGTTGGATTTATATGTATAGTATAAAATATTATTTTGAAACTCCTATATATACCATGGTTTTTAGTCCCACTTCCACGAAACTGCATTTGGGCAGACATTTCATGGCAGTGGTTAAACATAAAACCTCGAAGAGTATGGCGCCGGCACCACGGTGATTTCGAACCAGCTTCTTCCCATTCCTGACGGTAGTGGGAATTGATTGTACATTTCTGAGACTCTTCAGACCTGATTTTTACTGATTCAGTTTTTATATTAAATCAAGTTACAAACGCAAAGAAGAATTCGAACATATTTAAAATGATAATCAAGATTTCTGTTTATTTTTTTGCGATAAACTTGGCATTTTCTGTCACGGGATATTTTCCAATTTTGATGTTCTACAAAATCGAACAACACGATTAGTGTCTTCCCATTCCACGCCCATTTAAACTGCATTAACTTTCTATAGCTTGAGGCAAACTAAAGCAGTTCTTGACGCAAGTTGGTCTATACATGTCACTCAAACCAAATTGAAAAAACTCAAGGTATTGATGCGGTTCGTAAAAAAATGTATTATCACAAACTAGTTTTAGGCTAAAGTTACCAGTATATTTCAACGCTAGAATCGTATTTCAGAATTTGGGCTTGACATTTACTACAGCGTCTTTTTGCTACATATGTTAGCATTAAATAAAATCTGTCCATCAGCATAAGGATTCTAATCCATTCAAAAACACTTCATAGTCTTCACGGAAATAAATTAGAATTTCCATTTTGGTCGCTTTCTGGAAATTAATCTGCAGATATTGTCAATAAGCTTGTTGCAAAATATCGTTAAGTTTGAAAATTTAATTTTCAAATACTTTTATACTTAATCGTGAAAATGTATAAATATATATAAGAAGAGAACGCAGGCACCATGTATCTTTCCAGGTACGCCCAAATCATGCGACTCTACTTCGCCATTTTGATTTTCGGACTGCTGAGCGTTGCTCGGGCTGTGCCACCGGATGTAGCGCCACCGGGTGAAGACGCGACTCCTCCATATTATTGCACAGCCAAGTATGGGTATGTGATTTTATTAAATCTGAATGGTGATTAAACATATGCATTTGAAAGAGAGTAGAATATGTTTTTTGTTAGGTCTGTTTTATAATTGTGGCAAAAATTATTACGACTAAAATTTCGTTGAAACAAAGAAAAGCAAGCATTCATCACCACCATAAAACTTGCAAAACATGCGCAACAATTTTATTCAGTAATGTGGTGGCAAATGAGCAGGCGCATTAACTTGTCATAAACGAAATAAATAGACAAAACTAGCAATACAGATAACTGAAAGCATCTCAGCTTGTGAAAGAGTAACCAAGCGTAGCACTTAATTTTTTTTTTTTCAGGATCAATTTTGAAACTTGTTATGCCAATGAAGTAACTCGTCCATGCCCTCTTAGAACTTGCACAACTATAATAAAGAAGGGCAATTTATTGGCAACTGGAGAAATAGTCAAGTTGGAGAAATCGATAATAAGAAAAACACAACAATGCAGGTCGGTGACATAATCACTATAAATAGAGATAATGTTTAAATTCTATTAAAATAGGCAGTTTTAATATCATGGCAATATCGGTTTATATTAAATGCAATGTATCAGCTTTTATATAATAATGTTTTGAGGTTTACAACGAAGTGAACAAATAGCCACCGACAAATAGTTTCCTAATACAACAATTACATCGATATGCAAGTCTATCCCATTTCTTTATTCCGTACTGAACAATCTGGATCCAACCTGCTAATTTATGCTCAAATACAAGGAGTTCAGATGTTCAATGACTCTTCATTTTCAACTTAGACACAATCGGTCATGTGGACGAAAAGACTGCAAATGCAGAGATTACTTTGCCACAGAAACCGTGCAAGAAAGTTACCACTCAAAAGACGTAAAACTAAGAAAGTCAGCTAAAATTGTTATCCGGGTATAACAATTTTATTTTTTTAGTTTCCAGTATATTCAGTTGTTTGTTTGATCGAGGTACGGTCGCAAGAACTTACCTTGAACTCAGTAACAGTGAACAAATTATTTCATGAATACAATGGTAAAAAATTCAAATTCCATTTGAAATTTTCTGAAATTTGTTTTGCAATGGTGTGTATTAATATTCAAACAACAATACCGAGTTTTCAATTATTCAGTGAAATCGTCGGCACTCTGAAAGAGATTTCTGCGTCTTTATAAGGACATGTTCACAAATCTCGGCTTTCTTTCAAACCCGGCACTGATTTACAAAAATAACATTTATCATTGAATTGCAGTATCCGGCAAAATGCAAATGTGCGAGAAAGAGAAACAACTTCGACAAATTTTAAAGTGAATGAAGGACAAACATCTTTGAAGGGCCAAATTCCGTGTTCGGCATAAAAAAATATATTATATCTTACAATGCATAAACATTTTTGATTCTTTGTATCAGTATTCGGGGAACGAGGTAATGTTTTACTCACAGACTAGTTTTGAAATTAGGAATGATTCAGAGATTTTAGAGCCACATATCCGCTTTAGAAGTTAACTTCGTGCTAAGAAGTAGCAAATAAAACCACCGAAACTATTCATCGATCCTTAAGTGACATTCACATCGCTCCGCGGGCATTCGCAAAGATGACATGTATATGTGCGAATGGTTAAACTGACATTAAATGGTTACATTTTATTTTGCTGGGTAACTCATGTATCACTTCTTTTCTGCATCATATTCACCCCCATAAAATCAACTAGCTTGATTTTATCTCCTATGATATAAAGAATAGCGATCCCGTAGTATGTGCATCGGAATGGCGGACACCCGAACATAATATGTGTGCCAGATTGGGGTTAGGCCATGATTTTATTCTAATTTTCCTTATATTAGTTCCATTACGAGTTCAGGGACTAGCCAAGTGACTCCCGTAGTAATTGTACCTGATATTATGACCTAACCCTAACCTGATACAAATACTACGTTCCGGTATCCGCTATCTTGTTGGACATACTACGGGAGTAACTAAGGAATACCACTCGAAAATGCAAATGTAACCCAAATCGGATGATTGGGAATTGCGTAATGAAAAATCCAGTTAAATTGAAGTTTCCGTGATCCAATCATAACTCTTTGACAAAAAATTAGGAGCGACAATTGAATGCTATTGAAGAGTGCTCTTCTTATAATACCAAATTAGCGTAAGCACATCAAGAATATTGTGATTAAGTGCCGAGCGATTAGGATTGCAAAGCGGCGCTCCAAAGAAAGGTACGTGTGCCAATATGGAGGTACACTTCATTCACGTCAATTGGTTAATATACTATTTATAAAATTTAAGTGAAGTGAAGAAGTTTGCAATTAATATTTTTCAATGGTTTTCTCAAAAAAGCAATAAAGCAATCTGTGTTATTTGCTATTAAGCAAAAAGACTAATTCAATGAAGGTGTCGCGGAAATTTGTATTTATTATGTCAAGTTCTTTGGTTTTATCTGTTCCACCACAATCTTTAAATAGGTTTATTATTCTTCTCATCTTTGTTTACTGCTTGACAATATAAAACCAGGCTAAACTTATTTACTACTTAATAGCGTTGTTTAGATATTAGATTAATTTTATTTAGAGCGGCATTTTATTTAATTAATATATATATATATATATATGGCTGGGTATAGCATCTTGTATGAACCTGAGTCACATTTTCGTTATGGTGGAAATAAGCTTTGTCATGATTGTAGAAAGTTTCGAAGCCGCGAAATGATATTTGTAGAACTCAACATGTTATGAAAGTAATTTAGATAAAGATTTGGTTTCCTTTTATGGATACGTGATAACATTACCTCAAGCAGGTTACTAAACTATGTTACTGAAACGGATCGTTTCCATTTGAAGAGGTTACAGTTAAGGTAAGAAATGTAATTTGATTGCATTCAAAATGTGAAATGATTAATATTTCTGATTAAGACCAGAGTAAATCAATTTGATATAAATTGTAATCAGATTCACACATCTTCATAATAGAATACAATAAAAATACAAGCATAATATCCCTCTGTGAGCCATAAAATGACAGCTATAAAAAATTACACGAACCGGAGTCAAATGAAAAAAGTTTACAATTTACACTGACTGTCGTTTTTATTTTTTGACATAATTTATATTTATACTTTCTAAATTTACAGTATCCATGCGGATGTGAATGCGTCAAGATTGACTATTCAGATAAGAAGTCTTGAAATTTTCGAAACATACCGCCAACCTTAATCGGTGATAAATTTGCTGTTAAATTTCTACAAGAGACTAAATTACTGTTACTTTCATTTTATTATTGGTTGCCACTTTGGTATGCGGTTAATGCCATGAAGACATTTTCATCGAATTCAGTTTCTAATTATAACCCTGTAATCGTTGGGGTGATTGAATCTAACCCAACCGCTGATTCACATAACAAAGTGGCATCGATTAATGAATGTTATTCTATTAATATTTTATCTATCAATAGCGCAAAATATGCTATATTTATTCAAAGTCTTTATCTTGTATAATAAAAATTGCTTATTAAAGCAAAAAAATTGATACATATTTTTAGCTTTCTAGAAATTTCGTTGTTGCCGAAAAAATATTATTGTCAGTTTTGTCAAACATCTAAATTTTGTGAAATCGTTTAATGTTTATAATATAGGAAATATTATGTAACACTGGTTAATAATCCAAAACAGTCAGGTTTTGGCTATACAAACTGTAATGACTATGGAATTTTATAGATCAAATGACTGTAGGCTCTACTGGTATATTTAATACCAATCAAATTCGGTATCATGCAATATTAACAAGGGTGTCAAATTAACGTGCCAGCTCGAAAAAGATGCGCATAGGGGCCGGCACAAAAAAAAATGCGCATAAGGGCTGACGTTTGATTCTTCAACTTTCTAGTTAAAACTAGACTGTAGAATCTACCTGATAGAATTTATTTATCAACGTGAGGGTAAAAATAAATTCGCTGCTACAAAATTTAATATAGTCCTAGAGTACTTCCGAAATTTTTAAACGAATCTATTTGACCATTAGTAAATAGAAAACTACATCTTTCAGTTTCTAAATATTCCAGCCAGACTCCGACTTTCTGTAACATCGGGAGTGAAAAGGAATAAAAAATTTGTAAATATACTCAAACTGAGCGATCACAAATTTAATAAAATTTTACATCGATTCAAAGATTAAGTAAAATTAAAATAAAACGGTATTTAGCGTTTGGCACAATGACTTTATGATGTAATATCGATTGGAAAATTCGCAGTTTAGTTTCAATAGCTCAGTAATAAGTAATCAAATGGTATCATAACAATAAAAGACTTTTGGTGAATTTAGATTTTATTTTCAAAACTGTTTTTTTTTATTGAGGAATGAATTTAATTTCAATAATGCGTTATTATAGCAATTTATCATCGGCAACAGACTTTTAGCGACATCTTGTGCATCAACGCGCATTTCTATTCCATGCAATGCGACTTAGCAATCGTATTTTCAAACTCCTCGAGTGAAAAGTCGGAGTAGAAATTGCATACTTTGATGGTAATAAAATGAGTCTAAACTTGAGGAGCATTCAAATTACCAAGCGTTCCTAACAGCCTAACACATAAGACTTGCATACACCAGAGATGTTGCTATCAAAATTAAATTTTATAGGAGTTCAAGGCTGGATTCCGAGTCGAATTATTTTACAACTAGGATTTTGTGGGCGGTGTCAAATTTTTTTGATTCTTAGTCGGGAGTCGGAGATAGAACTTTTGCAACGGGGAGCATGACTGGGAAGCCGGAGTCATTGAGCTGTGACATTTTGGTGGAGCCGGAGCCAGAGTCAAGCTTATCATGTTAGATGGAGCTACCAGAAATTTTAGTAGCTCCAGCCTCTAACCATCTTGTTGTTTATAACATCAATATTTTATACAAATAATAAAATCTATCTTTTACAGCACATAAATTTTTATAAATTGTCAATTTATAATGTTAATTTCAAAAGTTTCAAGTTGTATTTACTTATTCGAAATTTTAATTTTGAAACCCTCATAAAAACCATAGTTTTTGGCCCTACTTTCGGGAAACTGCATTTGGGCAAATATTTAATGGTAGTGGTTAAACATATAAACCTCAATCGGTATGGCGCCGGAGTCGGGGCCCCTGTGATTGTAAATTTCTGAGACTCTTCAGACCTGATTTTTACTCATTTAATTGTTTTTTTAATAAATTAAATTACAAACGCAAAGAAGAACTCCAATCAATTTAAAATGATGATTGAGCTTTTCTGTTTATTATTTTTTACGATAAAAGTATCATTTTCTGTCACAGGGTATTTTCCTAATTTGATGTTCTACAAAATCGAACAACACGATTTGTGTCTTCCCATTCCACGCCCATTTAAACTGCATTAACTTTCTATAGCTTGAGGCAAACTAAAGCAGTTCTTGACGTAAGTTGGTCTATACATGTCACTCCAACCAAATTGGAAAAAAACTCACAAAGTATGCCTGCTGTTCATAATAAATCGTATTATCACAAAGCTAGTTTTCGGATAACGGTAACTGTATATATCAACGCTAATCAGAGTTTGAGCTTGGCATTTGCTGCAGCGTCTTATTGCAAGGTACGTTAGAATTAAATAGAATCTGTTCATAATGAAAGTATAATGATTCACATCCATTCAAATGAACTCCATAGCCTGCACGAAAATGAAAGGGAATTTCCATTTTGGTCGCTTTCTGGAAATTAATCAGCAGATATTGTCAACAAGCATGTTGCAAAATATCGTTTAGTTTGAAAAACATGATTTTTGAATAACTTTATACTTAATGGTGAAAAAAGGATAAATATGCATAAAAGGAGAGAACGCAGGTACCAAGTATCATTCCAGGTACGCCCAAATCATGCGACTCTACTTCGCCATTTTGATTTTCGGCCTGCTGAGCGTTGCTCGTGCTCCGCCACCGGATGAAGACGCACCTTCTACATATTATTGCACAGCCACGTATTGGTAGGTGTTTTTATCAAATTTGAACCGTGATTAACAATTGCATTTGAAAACAGGTAGAATATGTTTTTTGTTAGGTCTGTTTTATAATTGTGCCAGAAAATATTATCGCTGAAATATCGTTGCAACAAACAAAATCAAAAATAAAAGCTTTAGCATTCAGCACCACCATAAAACGTGCACTGCAAAACATGCGCAACAATTTTATTCACTAAAGTGGTGGCAAATTCAAAAAAAAATGAGCAAGCTCATTAACTTGTCATAAACTGAATAAATAGACAAAACTAGCAATACGGATAACTGAAAGCAACTCAGTTTGCCAAAGAGTAACTAAACGTAACACTTTATTTTTTTTTTCTCAGGAGCAATTACGTTTCTTGTGCAACCAATGAAGTAACTCGTCCATGTCCCATTAGACCTTGCACAATTATAATAACGGAGGGCAAGTTACTTGCAACTGGAGAAACAGTCAAGCTGGAGAAATCGATAACAAAAAAAACACAACAATGCATGTCGGTGAAATAATCACTACAAATAGAGATATTGTTTAAATTCTATTAAAATAAGCAGTTTTAGTATGCATGGCCATATTACTTTATATCAAATGCAATGTATCAGATTTTATATATCAATGTTCTAAAGTTTAAATAACGAAGTGAACAAATAGCTACCGACAAATAGTTTTTAATACAACAACTACATCGATATGCAAGTCTGTCCCATTCTTCTTCTTTCCGTACTGAACAATTTGGATCCAACCCGCTACTTTATGCTCAAATACACAAAGTTCGGATGTTCAATGACTCTTCATTTTCAACTTAGACACAATCGGCCATGTGGAGTAAGAAACTGCAAATGTAGAGATTACTTTGCCAAAAAAACCGTGAAAGTAAGTTACTCAAAGGACGGAAGACTAGAAAAAAGGCCAGCTAAAATTGTTATTCGGGTATGACAATGTTATTGTGTTAGTGTACAGTACATTTAGTTGCTTGTTTGATCAAGACAATATCACAAAAATTACTTTCAACTGGCAAGAATCCAGAAACAGAGAAATAAAAACTTCATAAATATAAAAGATTCCATATAACATCTCCTGAAATATGTTTTACAATGCTGTGTATTGATATTCCTAAAACTATACCGAGTTTTCCATTATTCAGTGAAATTGTCGGCACTCTGAAAGAGATAATGTTTATGGTTTTATCTGAATCATTTAACATATATCATTGAATTGCAGTATCCGGCAAAATGCAAATGTGCGAGAAAGAGGAGCTTTCTTAGAGGAATCAAAGTGTCAAGTGGATAATGGACAAACATCTTTGAAGACCAAATTCCATGATCTAAGTCACATCGAGATAACGAAAATATATTATATCTTACAATGCATAAACATTTTTGATTCTTTGTATGAGTTTTGGGGAACGAGGTAATGTTTTGCTCACAGACACAGATAGTTTTGAAATTAGGAATGATTCAGAAAGTTTAGGGCTACATATCTGCTTTGAAAGTGAAAGTCGCACTAAGAAGTAGCAAATAAAAGCAACGCAAATATTCATCGATCCTGAAGTGATATTCACAAGATTGCTGCGCGGCCATTCGCAAAGATTACATACATGTATATGTGAAAATGGTTAAACTGACATTAAATGGTTAATGGTTACATTTTATTTTGCTGGTTAACTCAGGTATCAATCCCTTTCTGCAGCATATTCATCTCCATAAAAATCAAGTAGCTTGATTCTATCACCTATGGTAAAAAGGGTACTGCCGTAGTGTGTGTATACCAGTTTAGGGTTGGATCACAATTTTATTCCGATTTTTTCTTTTTTTAGTTCTATTACGAGTGTGGGTCAAGTGAATATAACCCCTGCTCATAAGTTTCAGTTCCTTTACACAACTGATGTAAACTAGACGAACAAAGTTAGTTACCTCCATATTGGTACATACACTTCTGGAGCGCCGTAAAATGAATAATAAGATGAAAAAAATGCAAATATAACCCGAATCTGATGATGTGAAATTGGCGTAATGGAAAATTCAGTTAAATTGTAGCTTACGTGATCCAACCATAACTCATTGAAAAAAAATTAGAAGCGACAGTTAAATGCTATTGAAGAGTGCTCATCTTATAATAACAAATTAACTTAGGCACATCGAGAATATTTTGGTTTGAGTGCCGAGCGATTATCCAGTCAGTTTAGACGATTTTCCGGCAAAGAGATTCGACTGGGAGCCTAAGTGCAAACCGCAAAGTTCAAATTAATATTGTTGTTAGTAGATTCTTCCACGAATTGTTGCAGCAATTATAATATAATTTTCAACGAGAACTTAAATTTAATTTGACAGTCAGATGTAAATGATAAAAAAAATGACGCGTTTTGCGGTTTTGTCGTATTCTATTCCGCAAATTTGGAAACCACCTCGGTGCAATCGTGCAGGATTTGCAAATATAGATTCAGAAAATCGCGAGATCAAAACAACAGTAGCTCATAGAAAGCAATAACAACGTCAGCGATTAAAATCGGATTTAATTAGAAAAAATTAGCAATGAAAAACAGCTTCAAATCTAGAGAAGCATCATTTCTCAACTTTCGGCAATCGAAGAAAGATGAAGATTTTACTCGCAGCAGTTCTTTGTGAATTATTAGTCTTATCGTTTGCAAAAAGGCGTTACAATAAAGCACCACCACCTTTACCTGAATGCACAGCAAAGTCAAGGTATTTATTTATTGTCTGCGTTCCAGAATAGATAAATATAATATAGCTGATTAATGATGATAAAAAAGAAAAGATTCCATATTTTATGACAACGTGTAGAATGTCTATGAAACCGTGAAGCAGTGCATATTTTCAGAAGTCTTACTCGTTGGAGTCAATGTGTTGTTTACGACTATACCATTCTAATTTTTCTCCACTATAATTGCTTCCTTAGTACTAGCGATCAGGAGATTAGCAATTCTCGAATATCAAATAAGAGTCTCGGTTTTGTTCTTTTAATATTTTTTTTGAAGAGAATTACTCTCAGCAAGGTCACACACAAATTGTGAAACTTATCTCTAACCGAAGTTACCAAAGTGCCGAGATTTAAAAGGGTTATTAAAAATTGAAGCGTTGAATTGCTCGTTACCACACCAACTGACATGAGACTTAGGGCAATTTATGCGAATACGATCCGAAAAATAGCTATGGAATATTGAATTCCACTTAACTGTAGGTATTGTAAAAAGCTTTAAATTAAATTTATTTTGTCTGGTAGGTATACTGACAGTAAGTTCTCATAACTTACAGTCAACCAACGGATAAAAATATTTCTGAGCTACAAGTTCTGACAGCGAACAGGAAAAGATTGTAGTCTTCAATAAATATTTAATTTATACAAATTTAGTGAATATTTGAGATATCTACAAAAATTTTAAACGGGGACGGTATTAATGTTGTTTGCAATTATTGAACATTTCCATTGACGACGAGACTCGCTTGATAGTACAAAACTATGAATGGCAGGAACTAATAATTTTACAAGCGTACATTATATTTTGTGCTTTTGATTTTTTAGTTATAAAACTCCGCCATTTTGCTGGAGCCCTACCCACACATGCTTACATCGTAAGTGTAGATTTACCATCAAGGAAATGCGATTATCTACCGACCCGCCTAAAGACGTCCCACTTTCGAGAAAATATACAGTAGACGTCAAAGAATGCAGGTAACATTAATGCGACATCTTGTGCTTAGTGAATTAGTTTATAACGTGGTTGAAGAATAGGTTGCAGAAAAAAAATTGTTTTATAATATTTGAATTAGTGCATTGAAAACTTGGAACAACTTTCCACAGAAAATTGGGACCTCCAAAAGTATGTGCACCAAGATGGCGCATATCCTGAACATAGATGTGTACCAGGTCAGGGTTCAGGTTGTGCGCCGAAAATTGCTAGCAAATTTACGTAAATAGACAAAAGTGATTATTTTAAACAATAGGCGCTTCTGGAGTATGCGTACCAAGATGGCAGACACGGAACGTAGCATGTGTACCTGGTTAACGTCAGGCCATAATTTTAGGTACAAATACTACGGGAGTCACTTGGCTAGTACCGGAACTTGTAATAGAACTCAAATGAGGAAAAATTGGAATAAAAGTATGACCTATCCCTCACCTGGTACACGTACTACGTTCCGGTGTCCGCCATCTGGGTGGGTACGCATATTTCAGGAGTACCAGATTAGGTATACATATTTTGTAAAAATTCAAGACAAGTCAGTCATGATATGGTTCATGACTGTTCTATATATATGACTTTTACTTGGTACTAACCAGTGGTGGGATTCAAATTTTTTTGTCAGCCGGTTTCATCACACAAATGTCATATTTTCAGGCGGTTCTGTTACAAAAAGTCATGGAATGTTAACCGGTTCGCTGATCTTATAAAATTCCGTGAGACGGTTCTATAGAACCGCTTCGAACCGGCTAAATCCCACTACTGGTACGAACTGACAACTATTACAAATATTTAGCAATAATTCAATTTAAAAAATATTGACAGAGGAGAACCTGATGGACGACCATGCAGCGAAGGTGGCACGTGTTCATGTAGACACGAATTCAAGTGGATTCTGATAGAAACATACGTTATCATACACAACAAATCGCCATTCGGAGAACTCACTCATGCCAAGTCCATGAAAAGAATCGGTTATGCACGCGTGAGTGATATAAAAGTATTCAGTAAAAAGGGCAAAATGATTGTAAATTTATAATTGTAATTGAATATTATCATAATACTATGGATGCCGATTTTAGGTAAAATGAAACAGTTACATATAGATAGCTTATACATCATTGATAAATGAATTGATTTGAGTTATAAATGTCGGGAATTACCTGTCCTATAATAACAAGAGAGCTATGCTCAAATATATGGATACGTAGCGCCACCTAGTGGCAGATGTCGATGACGTCATGGCACACAAAAAACGAATCCCATACAGCTCACCGGAATATTTGAAAAAAAAAATAAAAATACCCTTCTAGCGAAAAATTTAATCTTTGAGCCCCGAAAATTTCAAAGCGATTGCTCCAGTAATCAAAGAGAAATGCTGATTTTTTCTGTGACAAAGAACAAGAACAAAAAGGGCGCCAGCATAAAATGCAAAACGATGGCAATGTCCACTAACGTGTCCAATAATTAGGTCCCACTTTGGTATTCGATATCAGCGCCGTAAAACTACTTTGATACGTCATATAAATTGCTCAATGTGATTTCAATCACATACCAAAATGGCACATCAATTTACATGCGTTCAATCTCATAAAGACATCCTCATAGAATTCAGTTTTTAACCCTAACGTTGGGTTGGGGTTTAGTTTATTCTAAAATCAGATCGAGACTGCATACAAAAGTTGTATCAACTTGTACACAAAATTTTACAGGTTCCAGATGGATGCAGATGTGGAATGAGAAAAGCTGGTCCATATCCATAGTGCCCAGAGATCCAAACGGAAAACTTTTTTGTACAGTAGAGTAGAGCAAGAATGTATCATGTGTCTTGTATTTAAATTCAATTAAAAATACATATAGAGTCTTTCTTTTAAATCTGTAATTTTAAAGTATTACTGAAATAGTAATAACATGAATAATATATAGATAGAATAATTGGACTTCGAACACACAACTAAATCAATGGGGATCAAAAATCAACACAAGGATATATTGTCGCCACATCACTGGATTACGATTCTACTATGTACGAATTTTGCATATATGAATTACGGTTGAATCTGTGTATATAGTGAATATAGTTGATACCTTCTTTATCATTTTCGCAGTTGAATTAAATTTAATTCCAAAATAAAATACTTTTGAATATATTTTATGTAGTACAAATATAATAGTAAATTATTCAGTATGTTGTATAAAAATAAGCCTGTTTTTGTTTTGTCGATCGAGTGACAAAATATTTAGTACTACCACAAAAAAATAAACAATCGAACAAAAAAAAATGAATAATCGAAAAGAAGCAAATCTGTGGTTATTTGCGGCGGTTTTCTGCTGCGAAAGTATTTAGTTTTCTACAAGATTGTTAAATCACTTCCAGCCATACGTCAATGATGAACGAAATAAGCCTTTGCAAATTTGTTAATCACTTCAGTGCATGATTCGAAAATATTTATCCAAGTATTCCCAAGATCAAGGTTAAATATCTATGATCATAAATGGGAAAAAGTTAGAATCTGTAACTTCTGGGTTTAAATATAGACAACCGCTTAGGCTGGGATGTCCATGTTAAATATATTTATAGCAAACTTTCTCGTGTCGTGAGTATGTCGTATAAACTTCGACATTGTATATTTTCAAATTTTTCAATCATATATCTAATATTATGAATATGCAAGTGTAGCATGGAGATCAACATCTCAATCAATTTTGCATAGAATTAGAGTGCTTCAGAACAGGGCCGTTAAAATACTTCATCGTTTTTTCTGTTCGTTTAAACCTCATAACATAATATATAACAAAACTACCATTCTAAAGCTTGCAGATATTTAAAATTAGAGGTCTGTAAGCTCATGCACATATACAACAATCTGTGTCTATCTATTGCGTTTAATAGTGATTTTACCAGATTGAGTAATAACACATGCAACACACAACACAAGATCAGCCTCTACAGTCAACACACTCTTTCCATTCAGCTCATTTGGCACATTCCAAAACTCAAAATTATTTTAAATTCAAGAAAGTAAAAATGAAGAATGACATAGCAAGTGGGTTAAAACAAAGTCAGCCTCATCAGCTCTCCAGAGCAAAGGTATAAAAAAAAAAAACATTTATTGCCATAATATATACTGGATGGCCCTAATCATTTTTGTTAAATATCATACTCCTTTATATTAAAAATGGCACAAGCAACATTTGAGACAAAGCTGAATAGTGCCACTATACCGGTACAGATTTACCAAGTCAAGCAGTTAGGAAGTCGTACTACCGGTATATTTCTATGATTATTAAATTCTGAGTTTCCAATAAATGTGTTTCAGACAATTTCGCCTCACCTGATGTCAGAATGTCGAGATTGATCATTCAACGTTTTCTTATAATTCATATAAATTTGTTCTTCCTACTTTCTGCAGCATTTTTTCCACTTGACACTTCAGTCATATCTGCTCAGTTGTCAATGAATTTGATGTCACTTTATATCTGCAACATCGTTTCAATGCATGAATATATATTTACATGGAGTACCTCCGTACCGGTAACCTGTGTTCAGTTGGATATAGCCTACCGATACAAACTACGGTACCGTATAAAGTACAGCAGTACCGGTATCGTTAAGGCGTTTCCCGCTTACAGGTACGGTACCGGTAATGATCAAATGAAACAACCTATTGTATCATTTTTATTTATCGTACCTGCCTTTCTTATCACTTCATATTGCTGTATTGCGGTATTTACTTTGTAACCAAGCTTCACGTTGTCCCGCTTCGAGTCATTCAGTTGAATAGGTGCAGCGGTGTGTTTTCACCGAAATATGTTCTGCCATTAATAATTAGTTCAGAAGATCCCGTGTTCCGCAAAGCCACACAAATGGATTCAAAGTTCACGACGCAAATAGGGACTTCATTACAAAGTGTAAAACACACGATTAAAGCAGATAATATCAGCGCGACGGAATACGACGCTTACCCCAGGACAGCCAAAGCAAGGAGGACGCTGCAATCAACAGCAAGTCGTCACGTATGCAGCGGTGGTTGGAGTCGAGCAACAGAATCTGACTATCGGGTGCAATTAGGGCTCAAACTTCACCCGCCAATGCATTGACTACACAAAAAATATAAATACGATATGAAACAATGAAAAATAGAACGACTCCACTCTCGCCACATTTGGTATTCCCCGTCTACGCGCCTGTCTTGTGGTTCCTTAATACAATCTCTAATACGGTAAGTGATGATACTTGAATAATTCGCACGACACTTATTGTATATATCGCTAGTTTTAATATTCTTAAAATTTCATTTTTCAAAAACTAGATATCATAATATTGTATGTCGCTGGTCGGTAACCAGCTATTGTTGTCCGCGATTTTCATCTCCTAGTAGTGGGAAAAATAAACTTGACTTGACAAGGCGGTTATACAAGTATTCTTTTACTAACTATTGAAAATAGGATACATCAATAGGACATATATGACCATAATAAAACCCTTTGGTATTTTATGCCCAATTAATTCGAATAAGTAATATTTCTAGACATATGTATACATCACTGATTTAGGGCATTCTACATGTTTTTATAACGTTTTGTATGTTTGGCATTCATGACAATCATTATTAGAATTTATTATATTTATCTATTTTTTGATGCAGTGAATAAAAAATTACCTTGACTTTGCTTTGCATTCATGTAAAGGTTGTGGCGCCTTATTGTACGGCCATTTTGCAAACGATAAGACTAACAATTCACAAAAAAAGAGCTACGGATAAAGTCTTCATCTTTTTTCTATCGCCGAAATATCAAAAAAATGCTTCTTGATATTTGAAACTGTTCTACGTTGATGTTTTTCTCTATAATCGAATTCGATTAATATCGCGCAAGAGGTTGTTTTTGCTTTCTATAAGCTACTGTTGTTTCTATTTTGCGATTTACTGGATAAATACTTGCGAATCATACACGATTACATCGAGGTGGTTCCCAAATCTGCTTAAATAATCTTTATGAATAAAATGCAACAAAACCGCAAAACGTTTATGAGGCTTCATAGTTTCCAATATTTACACCTGGTTGGCAACCTAGATGTTTAAAATTTTCTTTGAAAATGCACTTGCGTTGCAAAACCTAATAACAAGATTTGTAGTTTTTTATTGCACTTTCAGACGAACTTTTTTGATAGTTGAACTGTCCGGATAACTATCGCTACTGTAAATCATTATTAGTTTGTCAGAATGAGCACTCTGCAAATATGATCATGGCCTTCTAGAACGTTTTCAATGGAGTATATTGTACGAAATAAATGACATATATATGTTGGATTCAATTCAATGTATCACATCAATACGGATGCGACGGCAAACCATATTGAAAAAGCCTGTAAATATATTCAGTACTGAATTTGTTATAATATAAAAACAAACTACATTTTCATATATTACATGGGTCTAACTTATTTTTGACTTTTTACAAACCTATATATGTCGGTACATATTCAGGCACATGCAGTGGTAGGATTCAGCCGGTTCGCACCGGTTCTATAAAACCGTCTCACGGAATTTAATAAGATCAGCGAAACGGTTAGCATTACTAAAAAAAACAAGTGAGAAAACCGGCCGAAAAATATGACTTATGTGATGGAACCGACTGACAAAAAATTTGAATCCCACCACTGGGCACATGTACTAAACATTTCTTGGCTCCGGTGATGTGATTACGATTGAGTTGTTAATCAAACGTTGATTTTCTTACGTCAACATTAAAATACTACATTCTAAAGTATTTACAATCCCGCTGGCCACCCCTGTTAGACCTTGATATTTCAAGTTACTCTGTGTTGAATCCTCATACTAATGAGAAATAGTACAATGAGGCAGTCTTTGACACCGACAATATATTTTTATGTTTTACAATATGTCATTACCTTGATTACGTCACACCTCTTAAATTCGATACCAAAATTAATATAATAAAAATTTGGTTAAGAAAATCAAATTGGATTAACCTTTCAATATGCAATAGTAAAAACACCAGAATATAGTATATCATGCATCTTGGTTGATACATTTATGAATATGCTTGAAATGTAGTAATCACTTTCTACTCTCAGCCGTCTATTTCTCGTTCTAACGCGTATTCGCTCATGAATCTAGTACATTTACATCCACCAGGAACCTAAAAAGTTAAAATATTTATTAGAAAAAAATATTATTATTCGGGTACGAGGTCCAACCTTAGACGGACTTGGTTGTTCTTTGACGGTCACACTAGACCTGCTCATGCTAAAAGTAATAAATTCGGTACTCCCGAAGTATGTGAACCAAGATGGCGGACACTGGAACGTAGTATGTGTACCAGGTTAGGGTTAGCCCATAATTTCAGGCATAAATACTACGGAAGTCCCTTGGGTAGTTCCCGGACTCGTGATAGCACTAAAGTAAGGAAAATTAAAATAAAATTATGGTCTAACCCTAACATGGTACACACACTACGTTCCGGTGTCCGCCATCTTGGTTCACATACAATGAGTGTAAAAAAGGATGGCCGAGGTAAACTAAAAGCAAACGCATTTTCTTACCCACAACAACGTTAAACCACAGTATTTTCAAGTAATACCTGTCACGAAAGAATATAATGTTAAGCGACATTACAAAACCAAACTCGTGAAAAGATACCGAAAATACCATGATATTTATATTTTTTGTAAAGCAATTTTAAAATACCTAAATTCTTTATATAGTTTCCTTGAAAAACTGATTAGAACGATGAACTCTCATTTTTAATTTAAATTTAAAGTGATTAAACTCGCGATGTTTTGATCACCTTTGGGTTTTATCCGACTGCGGCCCGCGAGACCTACTCAAAAGTTTTTGCGGCTTTTCAACCCCGCAACCTTGGAACACTCTATAATTTATTTAAAACCGTCGCCTTTTTTACAACGGAAATTGAACAGAAAATTTATTTTTTTATAAACATAATCAAATGATAATTTTTTTTATAACCGTACTACGAAGTGAGATGTACCAAAACTAAAACACAAGAGGGCGATATTACCTCAGTTATAACTTGATTGATGGAACTTATCAATACTTTAAGATTACAAATAAACAGTCACACATTGAAAACAGGTCGCTTAAACACGTCTATATAAAACAGTCATATTGAAACCAACTTACCGTGAATTTGACGGTTTGTAGCACTTTCTCCCACAAGTTTGTTTCTTCATTTCGTTGGAAAACCCATGTTTCGATTTTCTTCGAAATGTATTGGGTTTGGCATGTACATCTGACTTTTCCGCTTTTTCCACATTCTATTCCAGGCATTACAAAATCAGGTATTGATCTTTTGGTTAAGCATTTCAGTCTTTTGGTTAGTCACTAGGGCATAAGCTTGGAATGTAACATGAGAACTTATTTACATATTTAGCATCAAAAATTACCTATTTCATTCCACTATTATTTAATTTAAACTTTTAAAGAATTATATTGGAGTTTGCGCCAAATTAGTACAATAGTTCAAAACCCCAAAATCTTATTTGAAGTCGCCTAATAATACTGAATAAAAGTAGCCAACCTACTATATATTTGTATTGTGTCCAATTACTATAAACGAGCAATAAACAAACAATATATACATTAGAAAATAGCATTAAATAAAAAAAATTTGAGCTTTAAAAAGTAAAATTTCAAAATAAAAAGAGAAGTTACATTTCTGTACTCTTATATTGATCATATTTCCAGCCTGATACTTTCTGCCTGAAAACATCTAAACACACATTCAACAAAAATTTGATTTAAACCTTAATGCATTTCAATTTGTTGTGACGGTCAGATTAAAAATTGTCAGATGATTGTTAGATTAACTAACAAAACATCAATTTGAAGAAAAATATAGCAATAAATTAATAACAACTTAGTTCAGTTAAAACATTTGTTTTTTGGAGTAAAACTGCCCCAAACCTGCACTGTTTCCCGATTGTTTTATAGGGTGTTGCTAGTCTCGCGGTGGAAAAGGGAGAGATTGAAGTTTGTCCAGGATAAACTATGAATCTGCAACTCTGTTCCGGACATCTGGACAAAAAAGTCTCATCTACGTAAAGACTCTTTGTAAAGAGACATGTCTTTGTAGAGATGAGTCTAGAATAAACCAAATAGTTTTGTTTATCATGGTTTATCCTTTTTCAAACAGCTATTTTAGTCATCACTTTTATAATTTACATTCCGCGCAGGTTAACAGCACTCCTGGGTTGAAACCAGCTTTGCAGCAGTGAATGTCAATAATTTAATTCAACAAATTGCGATTCATAGTCTTTGGTCAGTAGTCTTCTCAAAGCAAAGCAAGCTGAATATTTATATTTGCAAGATCTTTTCTAATAAATTTATATTAATTTTATATACTGATTTATAGTTGGAATTAAACAAATGAGTCTAGTAAACAATATTTAGCTAGTGAGGCGACATCCTAAAAGCGGTAATAGTCTTGTATTACATTGGCGGAGGTACTGATAGCAAATGCGATTTATGGAAAAATGCTTCAACTTGGACAAATAGTTTCTCACCTGTAAATACTTCTTGGTGCACAATTCGGGAAAACAATCGCCTGTAGGTTTTCCAAGTCTTTGCCCGTGCAACTCGCCAATAAGGCGCTTGCAAAGATAGCAAGAAAGCACTTCATCATATCTTCACAGACTGCATTCAAAATAATGTTTGCGTTTTCGGACCATAACATTATATTTATAGTAGCCCAGTTCCCAAGATGTAAGGATAAGGTCATCATTAGGCTGATTAATTAGGGTATAATAATAAATACCTGTACAAAACATATGCTATAATAACAGTGTGTAAAATTTTAATGCATCAGATTATCATAATTAATATTGATGCATGATCTTTTTAAAGATAAATTTAAATATTGTATAATCAAAGGTCGAGTCTGGAAAATAGAATACTTCGCACCAGGGTCATGCTATAAATTTTGATACTGAATTATAAAATAATAAAACGATCCTAATATGTAATAAATCCTACCCCGAGTGTCATTTACTTGTTGTCTACATAATCTTTCAATGAGACAGATACAAGATTGATATTCTATTTTACTTTGATTAGACTTGATTTGGTGGGAAATTATTACAAAGTTAAACTACATAATAATGTTCAAAATTAAATTGCAAAGTTCGTGTCAAAAGATTAAGTAGGTGTCTCCATCAGCTGAAAATTTATTCTCGTGCTAATTTGTCGTCTCCTCACCTGGGCATAAACTGTTTTCGCAGACGGAAGCCGTCGACTTGAAATAGAAAAAAGGATGATGAAATTTCAGGTAATTGTTATCATGGAGTGATATACTATTGTACTACTTTAATATATAAAAAAAATATATGGTAGAAAACAATGCCAGTTTAAAATAAAAACAAGAAATTGAAATGGAATTGAATTGCAAAAGTCACCGAATGAATGATATGTTCCCAACCTTGGCCATCACAATGTCGATGTTGTTTATAAATTCTACAATAACTCGGATTTGAATTGTAACTCGAAATTGTAGTGACTCCACTCCACTTGGGACTCTAACTTTACAATATGCTGGGGGTTGGCCTTGATGTGAAACTCGGATGACTTTAAAAACTTCTACCCATCGCTCTGATAAAAGTTCAAAAAGTTAGTCAAGGCACAACTCAACAGCAAAATGTCAATTCACATCTCAGCAATGTTTTTCGTATATTCCTCATTACAAGTGCATTCTGTCACATTTGAGTTTTCTGAAGTTTGTGACCTGACATTGACCGAGTGAAATTGACTAAGCGTGTCAATAAGATGGTAAATTTAAAACGTGTAGTTTTGTGTAGTACGGGTCATTTTAACTCAATATCGTTAATCTTCAAAAAAAGCACAACTGCAATAATATTTGAGTATTTTTGTTTTGTTTTCTTAGCCTATTTGCTTGTAAAGTCTTTCCATTGCTCTCAGTTTGCGCGAAATGCTATATATGATTACCATAAGTTTTGTCTACCGCATTTATTCATATTTAGGATAACGATAGACAATATACTTTTTTAAAGTGTTCATTTTTGAAAGTAAAATGTATAGCAACGAAACAATAAGCTTTCCAACATATTAAAATCCGGCTTGGACGATTCACTGAGCACTTTGGAAAGCTATAATGAGTGGCAGTTATGATTGGGAATTCTCAAACAATTATTTGAAGGAGATTCTAAATTATTTATTATTAAATATGGGAAGTTGTCAATTTCACTGAGTATAGGCAACACTTGTAGTTTCATAAACAAGAGCAAGAAAACGGTTTCAATTCAACAAATTCTTATTTTTTGTTGGGAATCTTATTCTCAACTCCTTTTTTCTGATAAAATATCACTAAAACATATTTTACAGGCAAGAGAGAAGCTGGTTGTATTAGTTTAAACTAAATCCCTCCAAGTAATCGTATAATTAAACCCACAAAGTATATATCAGTTGTAGTTAATGTGTCATATGACTAAAACAACACGGAAATAATTTGATCATTCTAGGGCTGAACATCCATTTTCAAAACTACAAACTACGGTGTATATATAAATAATAATAGCAATATTATTAGTTGTACAAAATATGGTTTTTTAAGCTAGGCAAGAGTAGATAGGAATGATTCAATAATTATTCGTTATTTCAAATAAAAGAAAAAAAAATATGGAATATATGGAAATGATAGTGGACCGAATTTTAAAATTGATTTACTAATATTTTTTATAGTTTGTCTTTGAATTTGCTAACTAGTATATTCAAACGCATTACACGAGTTTTTATTGTCAATATAGTCATCTCCTCTGAGTAATAACACATTTTGCTACGGGGCATTTCATTACAAATCCTTGTGGTTATTTTATCATGATCTTATTAAGTAATATTTAACATTACATAATATAAATGAAAATTAATCATTTTATAAAAACCGATAAGTTGAATTTTAGACGCAAGAACTTTAATTTGTGTAGGTAGTAAAAACCACTATCTTGTTTGTGATCATCATTGATTACGGAACTTTGGTATAAAGTTTCGATACAGGACGTGCGCTTCTAATGACTAATTAGTGTTTTTAGATTTTCAATGTCATTGTCATACAAATAAAAAAGACACAAAATTACTTTTGAAACGTTTTCAGGAAGCAATAAATTATGAATTTATTAAAATAGTCAAGAAATTAGCCAATAATTGAACTCAATTTTGAGTAAAACTACAAACATCAAATTTCTAACATAGGTATAAAAATATTTATATTGAGTTTGCTTTTGACTGTACACTACCAAAATAGAATATTTTTACAATAGCAATTAGCATAACAAATGTAGTTCATCAACTGCCGTTTTACAATTGTAATCAAAGTAATATCATTAAAAAAGTAGAAGGCTTCAATATTAGACTTTTGGCTATTCGTCAGAACATTGTCATTAAATTAGCCATAATTGTGAAATTCAATTTCACGTATCTGATGTCTTGGCTCCGTCGACTTGATCTGCTTTAGGTCTCGTATCAGCTACTCTCTACTCACATTTTTTCGCAGTGCTAATAGGGTAACACAGCGATGGTTCCATGCAACCTCTTCACCAGTATTTGTTCCACTTCCACCAGTGTGCTATGGACATAGAACCTTTATCGGGAACATTTTTACAATCAGGCATATTAATTCGTATGCAACTTTTTGAAATACCGGAATATTTATGTTTCGACTTGAGACTAAACTATTCAGTGCGATAACTCACATTAGGTGATCACAATCGTACGTGATGTAGCGAGCATTCTCCATGACCTTTGAACCTATCGTTTTAAAAGTCCTCACGCATCACAATAGCATATACTGTATCATTGATTTTTTTTTAATCTAGATATGAAACAACAATTATAACAAATATCGAAACACGTGATTCATCGGCTTATAAGAACCCAAAAAGTTATTTCCCACATAATGACTAAGCATGGTATTTATTTCATATTGAAATTAAATAATAATCGAAGTTTCCAATCTTGTTTTTATATGGTTTTTTGAGTCAGAGCTGGATTTGTATAAAAGAGACTCCACACTGCAAGAATTTATCCACTCACTGACTGTATCTTCGTTTCAATACTTTATTGGAAACAATCGTATATCAGACACAGAAAATGAAGTTGATTACTGTTGTCGTGTTGTTTGGTTTTGTAATCCAAGCATTTGCCCAAGAACCAGCTAAAGCTCAGCCCGAGCCATCGTCTGATGATGAAGAGAATCTATCGATTAAGGGTCTCGTCACGAGCGATATCGAAGGAGGCGGGGCTCGTCACATAGTTCGCTTTAAACCACCTAAATGCGCTGCTCCTACGTGAGTATTTATTGCATCTAATTTTCATATTTCCTTTTCATTAGCATGCTGCTTGAACCAACTACACCTGATAAATATACAATGAACTTGAAAATTAGAAAAACTTTTTAAAAGGTGATTTTAGGAAAGGTTGGATCAAAAAGAATAAGATATGAAAAGTGGCATAACACTTAATATATATTTTTGTTTGAAGATTTTACAAACCACCTAGACAGTGCAAAGGACATTGCTCGACGACATATTGCAATCTTATTATCAGAGAAGGATACACCGAATGCAATTACTTGCCTCTTACGCTTGCTAGGGGTATCAAAGTTATAGGAGTCCAATGCAAGTAAGCAATTTTATTTATTTCCAAGATTTTTCCCATCCATATGAAAAACTATTTTTCACATAAGTGTAATTTTTCCCTATTTGCACTGAGAGTTATCAATTACCCAATTTTTTGTGAACCGAAAATCCATTTTATTTGAATGACTGACTCCTCATTTATATTCGTCAGTTTCAAACACAATTTACCACAGTCCAACTAGTTATTATAAAACCCTGTTACGCTAGCTTCATTAAAGAACTAATAATATATTATAAGATACTCAAATTTCATGATAAATTTGCGAAAAGTTATAAGATCCTATACGAAGGAATAATTGCATTCCACTATCTGATTCAACCCCCGATTAAATTTTCACTTAATTTTCCAACTCTGATTTTATCTCAATTTAAAACACATCACTTTTATTCAGATCTGGATCGAAGTGCGGAGATTACAACCAATGCAAATGTGTGACATTGTTCAAATCTATCAAACTCACACGTCTAATCGTCATGTACAGCAAAAAGGGATACCGTTCATACTACTTTGCCAAAGTATACATCAGGGTAAGTTTTTTGAAAAGTTTGCACAATTTAATTTCATCCACCACTCTCCAAACTGGACCAAAATAATTGTAGAGTATATGAGAGCAATCAAATGCTGAGGTCTTTGGAGATACATAATGTTTTTTTTTTTTGACAGAAATGTCAGTAGATGGTTGGAATCTATGAGATCGCCTTAATTTTTAAAGCAATATAGGCAAATTTGATTTGACTTAGGACTAAGATATTTGTCATCTTTTGGAAAAATGACACGGACTACTTATTTTTTCTTCGGGACATCAAAAAAAGATTAAAAATAGCTAAATTTAGTGAATTGTATATACTGATTTAACTCTATTTTAGTAATCATGAGCTTGTAATCTTTGTCATGCAAGTTTTTTATATTTAAATTATATTTTATAATGAACGCCAGATCATAACTCCAAAATATCATTTTACAGGTGCCATACACTTGCCAGTGCAGCAAGTATTAGACTACAAGATCCAACCTGAAGGATTGAGGCAGATTCATATTTTTTGATATACGATCTGCTATATGTTTTACCAAGACTTCTTTTAAATATTAAAATATATTGATGCATAATATTTTTGTGATGATATTGCGTTTTCAAATTTTGAGAGAGGAGGTTTAATGTTAACCAACTTTTATTCGCGTGCGTGCAACGAGAGTACTTGGCCACTTCCTGTCGAGGAAACATTAAACATCAATGTAACATTTCGTAAAAACGCACGCTGTTGGGCACGAAGAACAGTTAATTTACAGGATCAGTGGATAAATAAAATATGAACGTGAATCGTCCATAAGCCACAGAATTAAAAATAAGTTAGGTCATTTCTAACTAAGTTTGAAAATTACCAAAGCAAAATAATGCGGGAGCTAAGAAAAATTACTTGATAACAGAAATACCATAACAACATAGGTTTTCTGAGAAAAAGTAGGGATATCATCACACATAACATTTAGTCGCGTGGAATAGCGTTTCGTTATTAACATGCTCTGGCAAAAATATACAATGGCATAAATGCCAAAAATCAAATTTTTTTGAATCTGTGAATTAGTCCTAACTTGACTTGAATAATTTAGAATTTAGAGGAAAACGACCAAAGAATCCATAAACAGGTACCATATAACCTATTCAAAAACGTGATATATAATTCAAAGGCTTGACACATACTCGGTTGACTGTTGCCTGTATGCTCACCGGCTTTTCATTTTAGGTAGGGGAGGGGGTAATATTTTGCTATTGTCAATAAAACTATCTGTAACTTATAACAATTTGTTATGTATTTGACTGATCAGCTGTGCTGGTGTACAGGTTATTCAAATACAACTATAGTCAACTTGGGAAATGTTGGGAAAGCACAGCTTGTAACTACTTTGTATTTCATAAACAGATCGGAATAAAATACAACGTTTTCGTCTTTCATTGGACTCTACGTACTCTATGAATCATTGTTGATATATCGTGATTAGTGTAATAAACATTTATGATCTAATACGCGCGTTTTTGTGTGACCCAAATACGTGTATTTAAGGTCGTTGCATAACAGTGTTACAGCCACCAAATTACTTTCACTAACGCCGGATCAGTAAAGATTTCCTGTAATATATATCAATTTAATAATATCAAGAAATTGATCCAATAATCCATAACCTTACTTAAACTGAATGTACTCATATATATAAACCACGGAAAAAATGATAAATTTGTACCTTTGCCAAGTGTGAAAGGCGCAATGGCAATAGGTATGTGTAGTTGGCAAGCTCTGGAGTTTAAGAAGAATATCATACAATAGGCTCGATGCATAGATAATGAAGACACTGAGATTAATCGAGAGCGACATCTAGAGTTTATTGGTATAAATGCGACCGCTCTGTTGTTGTACATGGAATTTCCATTTCATCAAAGCAATGTCGACATGGTTGGCTCTTTCTTCTCGTTGGTAAATAAATTCACAACAATTATATGAAATAATTATAAAATAATCAAACTAGAGAGAAATGCACAATTATGAGGACAGGAAGTCTAAAACAAAGTGGTATCAAATCTTTCGCAACTTAAATGCGATGACATGTTAAATATAAAAATACAGGGGATTTTTTCAAACCGCTCAAGGCATTAAGATTAAGATATTTTAGACAAATTTGATCTAGTTCGTAACTCATACATCCGATCGTGTTTTCTGAAACAGTGAACTCGTAAACTATTTTTATTTGTATTGATCAGAACATATTTTGAAGAATCAAGGTAAAAATAGCTTGTGAAATTATCCTCGAGGCGTAATAATTAGCTATCTGTTAAAACTTAAAGTGTGACTTCTAAATGCTGCAAATGACGTGTTGTGAATGAGTTGGTATATATATTATGGAAAAAAACATGAAATTATTAAAATTTGATATAAAATATTAACACTACTTTGTAAATTTGAAAAATTTGTAACAGTATGAGGCTCGGTCGAGAATAGATCGTACAATCATATTCATAAATAATATTCAAATTACATTTGAACTATTTGCTTTTTATTTAACGTCTATACGTTTATATGGTTGCAATATTATTATTACATATTAAAACAACTTTCATTCACATATAGATATAATTATATATGTTGAGAGCATTATGTTTTCGGACTGTTGTAAAAAAATATCTCAAGCGGGATTAGGTTGACGCAAACACGACACATAACCTGGATAATACTATAATTAAGTAAGTGGTAAAAAACACAACATGGTCGTCAACAGAACAGTGACCTATTCAGTTCATTGACATTTTTATTTGTTCATTGATGTAGTATGTATGGCTTCGGTTGGCCAAAGAACAAAGTCTAATAAAAAAGATATTAGGATTAAAAAACTATCGCAAACATATACAACGAAATATTTTCCGTCGATAATAAGTAAATTCCCATAAATTTACCGTGTCATAGTTTGATATAGCATTTTATTACATTTTGTGTCGAAGAACGTATGCTGCCTATTATGAAAAGTTGCATCGTTATTTTCGTGCTTGTGTTAACAGCAGCATCATGGGCTATGCCAGATATACTTCAGCCTGTGGTCGATGAAATAGGAGAGGTGCTTCCGGCTGAACTTGACCCAAATTTACCACGAGGAGGTTCAGCTGTACAGTCGGTAGCTCGTGGAGCGAGTTCTAATGTCGGTGGGTCGCACACGTCAACCAGGACATGCCCAGCTACTTGGTGAGAGATTTTCAGTGCTCGACAAAGGAGAAAATTATTACCTAATAAACAAACAATGTATATGAGTTTTAACGGAATTATTAAAATGAATCAATTTTATCAAAATTTTAATTTATCTATTAATAGAATATCAGTGAATTTAGGTGTCACCACAATTCTTATCAAAAACTCAGTTATATTTGTGTTTATTTTTATTTGTGCAATATCACAATTGTTCATAATGAATTATATATAATTTCAACTTACTTTCAATATAGGGGAGATTCGAAACATCCTACCTGTTCGACGACTGTTTGTACGATTAAGTCATGCACTGCGGTAATATACAGCGGATATTACTGCGGATTGGAATTTCAATTAGAAAGACCGCTTTCGGTTCGCGGAGAATCATGCGGGTGAGTCTTTAATCTAAGTCATGGTAATGCCGCAAGGAACACAAATCTGGCATCGTATATAAGAGATTATCCAGCAAAGAAACGTGTTGATGTGCCATAGCCGTCACGAATATTTTCAACTCCAAAATATTCTTTGTCTACTACGTTATAGGCTGTTCACATCGCGATCAAGGGGATGACTGTGAACTGAAGTTACACAAAAAGCAAAAGCCCTATTGTAAAAGCGTAATGTTTGGGAATTTTGACTATTTAGTTTTAACATGAGCTTCACAGGCGCATGGTTTACAAACTTAACGCCGAAAATTTGTGTCTGCGTTTTCATTGTGGAGCTTTTTTTGGCGGCTTAATAAAAGCGAGTTTCTTTTTTCCCAATAATATATTTTAGTGTTGAAAACTTATCGTGTGGAAAGAAATGGTGGCGACCATGTTTATGCAAGTCTAAAACCTGTTGGTTCGAGTCTAAACGAAACATCAAACACTCCGGCAAGTTATATTCAGTCGATGTGTGGATAAAGGTATGAATGCTCATATTTTTAGTATTTCCGCTTAGAATATTATGTTCTTCATGTTTGAATTTAAATAGCTTTTGCAAATCATGTTTCATGATATATAAAATTTACATAGTCCATGTCAATAGGCAGTATGCATCAGACCCGAAATAGTTGATATAAGCGGTACTGGTTGCTGTGTGCATATCCGCATTGCTTTGTACAGCTGACAATGAATCACAGCCTTTGTGACTAACGTCATTAAATTATTTTAAGATAGGTTTTAAATTTTAAAATAAATATGCAAGAAAGAGATCACTCATAACTTACTCTGAATTACAAAATCAATTCCTAACTTCTTCGGAACAAAAATAATAACTTAAAAATAAAAAAAATAAAAAGTTCTTATGGCTGTGGCTGTGGTAATCAAATAAATATAGCATACTCAAGTTTTTTTCAAAATAATCGGCAAGACAAATATCTGTGGTCGTTGTATGCCCTTTGCAGCAGAAGCCCAGGATTGTATAAACAATTTGTGTAGATCTTTATAAAACTTTCGATTGTTTTTTGCAGCGTCCATGTGGATGTGAATGCCGTGGAAAGGAGAAAAACAAGCCGAATATTCGTTTACCTTTCGGTGGTTTCAATTTCCGTATTCCGTGATATAGCTGAGATGTATTCTCCTTGCGACTAGACTGGCATGATTTGTAATGCTATTGAGAGTTTAAAACAACAACTAGATCATAGTAATAGTGAATGTTCTTTTGTGCTTTGTTACTTACAGGGTTAATAAAGATTTTGGTCCATAAACGTTTCTTTTCTAAATGGGTAATTTGGGAATGGAATTTCAAGCTTTATTCCTAAATTGGGAAGTAAAGCATTGCAGGAAATAGTGAAATTATTTAATCTTAAATTGATCTTATTTATGTGTTGAAAGTAATTGTGTGTCATCGGTGGAGATAGAGTATCATATCATCATATATATGATTTCCGTCCCAAAAAGCATCGCTTGAAAAAACTTTGGACTAAACACCACGTTATATCAGTACATCTTTTCGAGTAAATCGGTGGGCACTGCTTACATGCTGTCCTACTGGTTTCTATGCAAACTCAATTTCCACTTTTGATTTGGAGTTTTTGAGTGACCAGGTAATTGATTACAGTCCAAAACGCACAGGTTACAGGTGCTGCAGCTGGTGGACCCTTTCGTGTCAATATGTTCGAGACTGTTTTTTTTGTTTCAAAGAGGTTCGTTGCTCAAATGAAACTAAATAAAGACTAAACGACTACTGGTAAGCAAGAATTCACCAACATGGCAAGTGAACACAAAAACAAAACCATGCGAAATAGCTTGGCTCAGACAGAAGGACAGAAATATAACTCCCAGGCTTAACGATTATATTTACGAAAAAGACTTAAACATGAAAATTTGGGTAATGCTCATAGATACCTCGGAATCATAAATAAATATTACAATAATCGTATGAGAATATAGAATTTAAATTCAAGCGTTCACTATCCATAGGTGGCAGGTGTTGATAGTCATTAAATAGTCTCTCACACGTACTGTTAATTTTATCGTTTAAATGTTTTAATGAACTTGCAAGAATTTAATCTTATATTTTATACACTTTGCATTTAACAGTGATCATACTAAATTTCAAATTTTTTTTATTTTTGAATCAAATTGAAAGTTTTAAAATTGTTTAACTGAATTATGGGTTTGTACACAATGAAACTCTTTATCAAACTCAAATATTTTACAAACAAAATTTAGTGAATCGTGATCGGGTAAAAATCTTTTTTTGAAAAAAATAATAATTTAGTGTTTTGGAAGAAACTACGTATCTTTGTCAGGTTTGCTCGAATGCACTTTTCCATCCCATTGTTAATTTTTATACATGGTTGAATAGACTTGCTTTTCTAACAAATTGAAATAAACATTTAAATATGTACTCCAATCAGTGTGTGCACGTGTTTTTTTCTATCTACATATTAAAGATTTTTGCACGCTGTTTACTCCGAGTAAGGCTCAGTTAGCCACTGGAGTTATCATTATTTATAAAAATGAAAATTCATTACACGCCGAGTAAGGCAAAAATCATTTAAGGAGTTTAAATTGCATTATTTCCCACTTACAATTGAAAATTAATCATTAAATTGTGTCTATACAATTAAGATAACTCTTTTTGGAACTAAATGTTACACGTAATTTCGTATTTGAAAATAAATCTTATTTAACAACAAATTTAAAACTGTAACGTTTCTTATTTTTGAAATAAATTGTTTTAAATTTACTTGAAGACAGTCATAAACCATAACAATACGAAATATATTATTTATCTCATTTTCGGAAACTTAATTCATCCAAATATGATTCTTTATTTGGGTACTCCCGTAGTGTGTTGTGTGTACCATGTTGGGGTTAGTCCATAATTTTATTCCTATTTTCCTTTTTTATGTATATTACGAGGTAGGGGACTGTCTGTGTTAGCCGAGTGAATATACCCCCTGCCCATAGGATTCAGTCCCTTCACACAACCTGATGTAAAAAAGGCGAACAAAGTTAGTTACCTCCATATTGGTACACACACTTCTATAGCGCTCTTTATTTTATGTAATTTATTCATTCAGTATCGAATACAGCAATGTTACCACGTATCAAGGAATTTAAAATTTATTCAATATAAAATCAATTAAAGTTTTCAATAGATTGATATAGGCATGCGCAGTTATGTACATTTGTTGTATGTACTTTTTAAGGCTTTCGCAGAGTGGATTTATACCACACGGATAAGAAGGTAAGGGACTCACTCTCCTTATTACCTAAAAATATATAAAATAAAATGTCCATTTTTTACAGTAAATATTCAATTACGTTTATGAAAGATGTTTGCTCTGAAAGGAATTTATCATAAACCGTATATGAGAATAAAATAATAAAAAAATGAACATAATATCAAGCTACATACAGATAAGAACTGGTTTATTCACTTTTTTCCTGGGAATATGGAAGATGTCATGAATTTTAAAAGTTTATATGAAATCAATACTTTAAAATACTTGATACTTGAGTAATTTGATATGAATAATTTTCTGAAAAAAATTTAATATACAATTTGCAAGAATCTGATCTAATCTTGTACACATTTTGCATTAACAGTAACTATACTTGGTATTGAATTTCAAAATTTTTGTATTTCCGAATCAAATTGAAAGTTTTAACTTTCAGCTGAATTTTTATTTGTACTTAATGAAATTCTTCATTAAACTCAAATGTTTTAGAAACAAAATTCAGAGAATCATGATCGAGTGGAAAAATATTATTTTTTTGAAAAAAATATCATTCAGTGTTTTGGAAGAAACTACATACATATCTTTGTCAGGTTTGCTCAAATGTACTTTTTCATCCCATTGTCGATTTTTATGCGTGGTTGATCTGGCTTGCATTTTCTAGCAAAATTGATATAAACATGTAAATATGTGCTTTAGTCAGTGTATGTAGGCGTTTTCTATCAATATATTCACGATGTTTTGCATTTCACTCCGAATAAGGCTCAGTATCAGTATCCACTGGTGTTATTATTATCTATAAAAATGAAAATTTATTACACCCCGAGTAAGGCGAGAATCATTTCCAGAATCTCACATGCGTGTATTCTGTGGATGTTTTTTTTTTATTAATTTCCACATATAATTGCTTCAAAAATGAATCATCAATGAATCATATATACGATAACGCTATTTTAAAACTAAATGTTACAACTCGTAATTTTGTATTTTAAAATAAAATTCCATTCAACAAAAAATTGCAAATCTATTTTTGAAACCCATAATTCCAAATTTATTTAAAAACAGCAATAAACAAATACAATACAAAATATAATACTCTCCTCATTTCCGGAAACCTAATTTTATTCAAATATGATTCTTTGTTTTATGTAATCTATTCATTTAGTATAAAAAACACCACGTACCAGAAAATATAGAATATATTCAATATAAAATCAATTAAACTTTAATTTGTTAAAAGATTTTAATAGATTTATATATGCATGCACAGTTATGAATATTTGTTTTATGTACTTTTTAGGGCTTTCGCAGAGTGGATTTATACCACATGGATAAGAAGGTAAGGGACTCTCCTTATTACCTAAATATATATAAAATAAAATGTCCATTTTTTACAGTAAATATTCAATTACGTTTATGAAAGATGTTTGCTCTGAAAGGAATTTATCATAAACCGTTTATGAGAATAAAATAATAAAAAATTGAACATAATATCAAGCTACATATAGATAGGAACTGGTTTATCTACTTTTTTTCCTGGGAATATGGAAGATGTCATGAATTTTAAAAGTTTATATGAAATCAATACTTTAAAATACTTGATACTTGAGAAATTTGATATAAATAATTTTCTAAAAAAAATTAATATACAACGGATTATAATCTCCGAAAAAATAATTTATCAAAATCTTTTGACATTATGGACGATTTTCTCATACCACAATTTTTTACTTTTTTCAACTGAAGGATAATAATGAAATAAAATACCTTATTCGATAAAAAAAAATTGTAGTTTTATTGACACTCTGTAATAAGTGATTACATATTTTTAATATTAATATTGGAGGATCCATTGTAATTCTATATTATCTATGTTATTACGTTTCACATATTTGATTTTGTTAGAATATATAGGCCAAAATAGTTGTATCAAAAGAGTTGAAGGTATGGGAATATTTATATTTACCCGGCATCCTGGTTTGAGACCAATAAAAGTTTTGTTTGATATAGACTAGATAATATATATAAATCTCTATCAAAAATATTTATGTGGTGCAATAAAGTTTTCAAAATTGAGAAATGATATCCCTAGAATAAGGCTCGGGTTTCACAATGATACCGACATGCGGTGGGTCTTTGACAAAGATTTTATCTAAAGATTGTAAAATTATATTTCATAATGCATTCGCATGGAATTTCAAAACCCCGAAAAAATGTCATTGTTTTATTCATGGATATGGCTATAAATTTGCTACATTCAAGCCGAATATCGCATTCGTTACAATTTGTTAAAGGGAATCACATACCTTTAATCATGAAAGGTTTTCTTGTGGTTCTTGCACTTGGCTTTTTTGTAGCAACATGGGCAGAGGAACCAAAAATACTCGAGGATGTTAAGTTTGAATATGTGGTGGAAGAAGAGCCAGAAGGCGATCTCAAAATCAAAGAAATCGTTGATGGATATGGACCAGATCATGGGGAGAGACCTCCTGGAACAGGAGCAAAGTCACTCGGTGGTAACTATTACGGGAATAATAGGTATAACCGTGGTGGATATTATTACGCCCAATGTCCTGCTTACGGGTTAGTATTTTTTCAAATTTATTCAATAAGTTACAAATTTCAGATATTTTTTCAATTTTTGTCACATACCTGCCGTCTTAAACTTCTGAGCTTGTGTTTGATAATTTATGTGTATTTTTCCAGCTACAAACCCGTGCACCCCATCTGTTCAGCAGCTAATGAATGCTACAAAAGTCATTGTAAAGTCTCAATAAGTAAAGGATATTACTGCGGGTTGCAGTTTTTCTTGCACAAACCCCTTGTGGTCGCTGGAACCTATTGCAAGTAAGTAATATGCACTTATTTTTTTAAGATAAATTCGGTACATTAAGGTACGGAAGATACATTCGAGAAAAGCTTTCTTTAATACAAATAATGTGTTATAACCGAAATTTAAGTTCAGATCGTATGATATATATATGGGCCATTCCAAGCAATAGTTGAATTCCATCAATTTTTTAAAAAGTGTAGTGAAAGTAATTTTTTTTTTATTTTTGATATCAGAAGACATTGGAATTTTATTAGACTGCATTCATTTCATTGAACAATTTAAAATTTCACTCAGGTTTTTGATGGTTTATAAAAAATGGCCTGAAATGTAGAAATTTTGGTATAATTGACATATTTTGTGATGATTCTTGACACAAAGTGTTTGATTGTGTGGTACAGTTATTTCATATGGAATTGACGCACTGGATTGGAGTTAATAAAGTTTAAATGTTTGCAGTGCTGTATGACATTTCTTCACCCATTTAACGATTTATTACCAGAATTTTAAGAGATGATAGAGGCCGCTATTCCGAAGTGGAAAAATGTCCTGTAGTGTCACGTCCTGTAGTGTCACATACAATATGCACATTCTTGGCATGGATTTACAGTGTTACATTAAGTAACTTGAGCAACACATAAAAGGGTAGTTCAGCTACTGCACCAGAAAATATTATGTGCTCCTACTGTACCATCGCGAAAATTTACAGCACAACACAACGCACTGTTAGTGCATGGTGGATTTGCCGTCCTGTAGTGTCACGCTATATTTTACTATATCTCTTTATCTACTAAGTAAGTCTTGGGTGTAACTTTTGTGCAATTTTTTACATATTCAATAAAACAACTGATTGGACAATGAAACAAAACATGTGGCTGAAAATGTGAAAATATATTGCATCCAACAACAGGCAAAATTTCTGGAATTGTACTGTAGTGTCACTTGGAATAGCCCATATATATTTCCATCCAATTTTCAAGTGAAAACACAGTTATTCCGTTCAGGTCCAAAACTCAACAATGCGGAAAGAACCACTGGCGTAAATGTTACTGCACAACCAAATTCTGTTGGTTCAAGTTGAAGAAAGTTATCAAGCACTACAGTAAATTCTACATCGTCTATGTATGGATGAGGGTATGTTAAACTTACATGAAATTTGAGTTTTTCAATTAATATGAAATCTCAAAACCGTCGCCACCAAGGTTTCACTGATAAAATATTGACTTGAAGATCATATAATTATTCTTTACATTAAAAGTCGCTATGCTGAATCATTTTTCGTGTGGTTTTGTATACAAGTCATGCATGCTGTTGTAAATAAAGACTAAATTTTCAACAATGATTAATCTAACTATTTTTCTTACAGCGTGCTTGTGGATGCGAATGCCGTGGAAAGATGGTACCTAAGCCGTATTACCCTCCTGTTCATTATTCCAAACCGATTCATCCCAAACCAGTTTATCCTAAGCCACATTACCCGACTAAACCAGTTTATCACAGTAGAACATCCTATACTGATGATTCGCGTCCGGGGTACCCACATGGTGATGATACCTACCCAAATACCTACGGAGATTGGTAGTTTTACTTCTATGATACCCCTACACGAGGATAAAGACCGGCTTGAAGACAACGATTGATTCTTTCTATTTTTTTCTCGTTAAAATAAAATTAATTCGACCGAATAGTAACACGAAAACATAATATTCATTTCGTGTATTTGTTTATAAGAATGGGCTGGGTTAGTAGATTCGACAATGTGCGAAGGTGTGTATACGCGAGCTTCATAAATATATACATATGCAGATGACGGGACAAAACAACCTCATTACAGACATATCTATATATTTGTTGCGGTTGTAAAAAACTGTCAGGCAGCCATGGTTATTATGTGCACTGAATATTATACGATTACTACTTAAATTGTTAATGGCCGAATTCAACTACAAGCAGTCGGCCTACCTAAAACAGTCTTCACCACAAACCACGTTTAGGACATAGATTCAACCAAATATTGGTTGTTTTGTAAATAAGCAGAGCAGAGTAAGTAGGCTATTGTACATTGCGGTAATGGCGGCGAGGAGGAGATGTGGGACGGGAAACGGTCCAATGGTAACCGGACAGAAAAACAACAGTATGAAATAAGAACTAGAAATATAGAGAAATACCGTATATGGTAAAACTGTACTGGCCAGATCTGGGGCAAACCTCAAACGCAGGTCAAACCGTTTTGAATGGAACAAACGAGAAAAACGCGCCACGACTAGGGTATCGATTCCAACCGAACCAGCATGTACCTGTTTTAATGTAACGTAATATCGGAATGAATGGCTTATCTTGATCCGAGTAAACTAAAGTGAACTTTATTGCGTTATGTGATCTTATGAACATAATGATATGTGGTTATGAAATAAGATCCCTTTAATACCATTCGTTATGCACATTAAACATAAGAAGAAAACCTCTCTGACGTAAGTAATATCTAAAAAAAACAATTTTGATAAGCAAGCAAGTCTGCCGAAAAAATCACACACTAAGGTCGATACACACAACCAACCGATACGGCAGTCAGACAAAGAAGACATGGTCGGTCACGTTGACGGACGTGTTCGGAGCTAAAAAATATTGTTCATTTGTGTGGATAGAACTCAGTTGATAATATTGACGGTAGTATTTAAAGCCATAAGTCAATGTGCAAAGGTACGAATTTCGGTGTCAAAATATTTCACACACCAGAAGCACTTAAAAAAATGAACACTTTGTAGTATTTGAGGTCATTTTACACTTTTGTAGAAATAATTGTAATTCAGATATCTTGTTGCAAGAAAAAAGTTGAAAAACAAGTTCAACTGGTGTAACAATTCTCAATGTTACCGCAAATAAGCGAAGGTTGTACCGCCACAATAAAATCCTACGGCCCACACTCTACACTGTAGAGTCTACTGCGTAGAGTTCGCTTTGATGAAAAGATTGGCGGAATTGCGTGTCTGTGGTTAAACACGACGTAATCAACGGTGTTCTATTTTAAATAATATGAACAGTGAATTTTTTTTTGAAATTTCATGCGACCCTAAGAAAAAAGATAATAGCTTATAGTCTGAATATTTGAAATCATTTTGCCAATTCGATTGGCAGAGCAAAAAAAGTTTATGAACGATAACCATCATCCCCAAAACAACAACAAAACTGATATCAACAACAGCAATTCAGAAAAACAACCCGTAGATCAACTTCGTACCCGAAAGCACCCTTCACAAAACTTATATATATATATTCCTGAATATGTGGGGTCACACAGGAATATTTAGCTGAATTCGCACGGGGTCTGTATAGTTTTTACAACGAATTTGAAGAGATTGAGCGTTTGATTGATTGATTTAGTGGATAAATACTACTCTTTTATCGGGGCTCCCGAAGTATGCGAACCAAGATGGCGGACATCGGAATGTAATATGTGTACTAGGTTAGGGTTAGGCCATAATTTTAGATATAAATACTACGGGAGGCTCTTGGCTAGTCTTCGAACTGATAATAGGGCTAAAATAGGGAAAATTGGAAAAAAAATTATCGCCTAACCCTAACCTGTTACCCATGTTACGTTCCGATGTCCGCCATCTCGGTTCGCATACTTCGGGAGCACCCTTTTATCTCCGGAAATTGGCCTTTTAAGGTGTTTTAAATTGAATGGATTTCCAAGCTTTTGTGAATTTATTGTATTGCATTGACAAAAATAGTTTTCCGGCCCGTTTCAACACAGTTTAACCCGGCCCGCGGTCAAAAAAGTTCGGTGACCCCTGGTCTAGAATTACCGCTGAAGGGTTCAATGGAATAGCGAGAATCACTGCGGCTAGGTTTGGGGGCCTAGTCACTAGTGGCTTGGCAATGTAGCAGACAGTCTGTTCAACTTGAAAAGTGTTTAAAAATATCGAGATACCAAAATCGGAATAAAACTCGGCCCGAAGGGGAACGTTCTGGAATAAATCGCTCAAGGTGTAAACGTGTCGTGTAGAAATTGGTCTATTCATTCCTGATTCCTCTACATGCTAATAGATTCGTGTCATTGGCAAACATTTGACTATAATTGCCTTTATTGGTTTTTATTAAACAGCTTTAAAATTAAAAATGTCCAAATATATCTAATTGCCAGCTACGATAGCTATGAAAGTCGAATCGCTTTCGACTTGTTATTATTAGTTTACGATCGAATTTGAAGTAGTTAGTGAGAGAACAACAAGTTAGACTAATTGCGTCGTTTGTTTCGTAAAATGAGACATCGCAAAGTTCATGTCACGTCAGCTCTTATCGCCTAATCGCTGTTTTCAAAAACACCATTCACACAATAATTGCACAAAATACAGAGAAAGAATATGTTCAAATATTCCACAAAAACGAGAGAGTGCGTCACGGTTATTCAAGTTTTTTTAATTAAAAATTCATCTATAAAATCTGAAGCTCTTTGCTTCGCTTGGACATTCTTGCGTTTTCTTCTGGATGATTGACCGTTTCTGAATATGAAAGGTTTTATCCTTGCGCTTGTAATAAGCGTCTTTGCGGTATCCTGGGCCCAAGATGGGGCTGACGGACCGAATCCACTCCAGGTTGTAAATGTTGCAAATGTGAAAGAAGAAAAACCCGGGGGCGACCTAATCGTAACTGGTGAAGAAAGTAATGTAGGTGACAATACTCTGTCTTCAGCTTCTTATAACTCCGGCCAGTCTGGGGCAACTGGAGCAAAATCTCTGGCAACCGGGGCTAGACATTTTTGGCCCCCTCCAGTATACCCACATCCTAATCCTTATGACACATGTCCAGTATACAGGTAAGAGTTGTTTGAAAAATTTGTTATTTTATCGAACTATATTCAACGTAAAACACGACTGCTAATTTTTATAATTTAGGTATGAGCCGAAGGACCCCGTCTGTAGAGCAGGTCATTCTTGCAGCAAGCGTCGATGTAAAATTAAAGTAAAGAAAGGATATTACTGCGGATTGGAATTCTACTTGTACAACCCATTTTGGGTCGCTGGAAGCTATTGCAAGTAAGTCATGGATTGATAGAAAATATATTTTTAAATAATATAGAAACCATTTCACTAGCTAACGTGTACTCAACGATAGTTTTTTGACGGGTATATATAGATAGATTGAGCTTACCCGAACTACCCAGTTTCTTTGTATTTTCAATTAGATATATATATATAGTACTTTGCAGTATATAATAAATGTATCTGCTTACAATTCCTATTTTTTTCGTTCAATTCCCAAACAATGTATAGAAGGTTTTTAAGTTATGTATTGTCTGAATCTTCATGAGGTGTTAAAAATCATTCACCGCTTATTCTCTTTTTTAAATAAATGTTTCTACATACGTGATGTGTTGAAATAGTTTTGCGCTTTTGCGCGTGATTAGGTAAAATCATAAAATTACGCGCTTCGGGCTATTTTTCATCAGCGCTTTTAACGTGAAAGTAAACAAACGTGCGCTGACGAACATGAACCACACGGAATTAATTGGAAAGTAGGTTATTTATATCTGCTGTTGATTTTCAGTCCAAAAAAGTATGACATTGTCATTGTCAATAATAAACCGCCCTTCCGAGGCGCTCAACCAATAACATATTGATGAAAAACCCGACAGCCTACGAATTATTTTATTTTATTAAGATGTTGACACAGCATTTGACTTAACTTTTTATTGCAGGTCTCAATCTAAGTGTGGACTCGATTACTGGCGTCTATGTTACTGTAGAACCAAGTTCTGTTGGTTCAAGCTGAAACGTGTTATCAAACACTACAGCAAATATTACTTCGTTTATGTGTGGATGAGAGTAAGTATTACTTGTTTTATGGATTTTTGGGAATTGAATATCTCTATATAATATAATATCAAAAATATATTCTGGAATACCATAATTATATGCTCTGTTACAACAACTCCCATCTTGGGCCTCGTCATACGGATACATGTTATCACCGTTTGTTTCAATATGCCGCTTATCTTATTGAACGTGGCATGGATACGGACAAATGTCCTACAAATATTTTTTTATTCAATGGTCATCAAAGTATATCAATGAGATTGACGCAATTCATAAGTCATATTTAACAGGTATGAGTGACGTAATTGTGCGGATTTCAGTAAAACTTCCTTAAGGCCTTTCAATTTTACTAAATATTAGGAAATATTTAGAACTTCGTATTTCTTAACTACAGTATGCTTTTTCTATTGCAGCACCCATGCGGATGTGAATGCCGTGGCAAGAAGAAGCAAAAGCCATACATTCCTCATCCAACTATATACCATCCGCCCACACCTCACACAAGTTATCCGGATTTACCATACTATCCGGATCAACCTTATTATCCGGATACAGACCACCCCTATCCACATGGTCCCATTTGGTAATGAGGATCTATGACTATGGTTGTAAATGAAGACAGTTCAATAATGTTGGAATTCTTTTTATTTTGTTTTGTTGATGGGTTTGAAGTGCCACCGTGAGGATGTCGCTGCTGTATAACTAGTATATATTGGTTCTTCGCGTCTTCCTCCACCTTGGAATGTGATTTTGAACACTTTATTTTCAATTCAGTATATTTAGTGCATATTTTAGCACGGAGAAAAAATAAATAAAATACTGATTACTGCTCAATTATGGTGACAAATAGTCTCTTATGTCTCGCCAACGTTTAAAAGCCATGTATAGTTGAAGTAGGGATTTTTTGAGTTTGAATCAACAAATGTGGAAGTTTATTCATCTTACCCGATTGTACGGTCCCGGATAAAAAACATTAAGGCGTTTGAACACAAATTAAGCCAGGATAGAATATTGGGTACGCCTGTTGTATGCGAACCATGAACGCCGAAACGTAGTATGTGTACCAGGTTGGGCCATAATTTCATTCCAATTTTTCTTATTTTAGTTCTTTTACGAGTTCGGGGACTAGCCAAGTGACTCCTGTAGTATTTGTACCTGAAATTATGGCCTAACCCTAACCTGGTACACATACTACGTTCCGGTGTCCGCCATCTTAGTTCACATACTACGGGATTACCGAATATTGTATCGATGTAGAGGTAGAAGAAAGAAGTTGTGTATAAGAATTCGTAGGATACAATTTGAATGAACACAACGTTTGAATTTAAAGCGGTTTTTATCATTTTTTTCGTAAACTATAAAAATATACAAAAGTAAACCTAATACTGGCAAAACAAAATGCCATTTTGAAGTCTACAAAGATTCCAAATATACATTAGGTTTGGAAGCCCATTGTTTTTTCTCCTATACTTTTAAAACGCCAAAATGGACATCTTCTCTCACACTATTCGGAACAATAACAGATTGTGGCTCTTTGGCGTCATACTCAGTATCACCCCACACTACTGAATAAGTTCCCAACATAAAAGGCTATAGCTTGAAGTCGGATTTTATTCGCCATCGAAAAGTACTAATCACTTTTATTGTGGCTTAAAATTATAGGTTTTTCAAATTCCTGGGCATCGGAAGACTGATAGCAATATTTATAAAAACCGTACATGTCACGCACGTCGCGGGCGTCTGTTATTTTAAAATAAGGAAAATAATTGTTCGAGCTTGGGTTATGGATATACAGTACATTGACAATTAGGCGCTGGGTGATTGCATTTTCTGAAAATATTCACTGGATAAGATGTATGGTGATAAGGTCATAAATAATATGCAAAGATTTAACTAAAATTTATTTCGAATAATATTTTTGTTACTCGGTCAACACATTGCACTTTTTCCCGTTCGAGGATGTTTTCTATATCAAGTAGACGATGTTTTGACAAGGTCGATAACCTGAGATACATAGGCCGCAAAAATGCACTTATTGCGATATAAAAGCAATAATAAAAGTGTTCATCTAAGCTCAATTGTCATTTAAAATACAGAAAATCGGAAAATATCCGTATAGTGTATATCAGGGGTTGGCAATTCCTTTTCTAAGTGGGCCGGATACAGATAATAGACTTAGTTACTGGGCCGGATGCACATTAGTGTTGCAACCCCGGTATTTTGACTTTTTCTCCAATCCCGGGGTCATTTTTGAGTATAATTCCGGGATTTAATACGTGACGTAGTGTTATTCTAAAACGATTTTACTGTGCATTTCGTAAATTGAGTTGTCAAAAAATTACTGACTTGGCGACAATTATCCCTCAAAGATTGCTCTGTACTTAAGAATCCGATTCAGACACCATTAAAAAAAGATGAATATTTGATAAAAACAAAAGATAGCAGCCACGACGAAGACAAGCAAATGACGTTGGCACAAGCGCTTCATGCTTTGGTTGCACGCGATGATAACGAATGTGTGTCATTGATAACGAAAGTGGCTGAGAAAGAAATGCTGCTATGTGAAACAAGCAGAGACAGAAAACATGGAAAAGTTGTAAGACGCCCTAAAATCAATTAAATCTACGTCAGTCAAGGCTGAGCGTGCATTTTTAGCGCTTGAATTTTTTCCCAACAAAATCGTCTTACTCTCATGTTTTCGCATAAGAAACATACATGACAGTGTGTGTGTTTTTTAATTTTATTTATTTATTAGATGGTGGAAATCGTGACACCGGGATTTCAAATCTGGTCCCGAAATAGCAACCCTACTCAAAACTCAATATGAATTAAAACGGTTTATTTGCAAATAACTAGACACAATGATTAACGGGACTGATGTAGCCTACTGCATGCGTCCAGAAGCTTGTTTAAATCAGGCTCGAAGTTGCTTGTGCTGATTCTTAAGACTGATTGTAGATTTGAATCCGTTCAAGGAGATCTGTTTTTGCTTTTGTTGATCTTCATACACGAGAAGGTTTGCTCGCATAGGTATGTTGATGCAAACACCACGAACATTTTTTGGGGAAAATCTATGATATTTTCCATTGTGAAGTGATTAATAAAACTCAATCAATGACTTCTTTTCAAAACTGCTTTTCAAAGCATTGTTAGCTTAGAAATAAATGAGTTCCACCTATAACTCGTCAGCGATCTTTTTAACATCGTATGAGAATGAAGACTCCAGTAAATCAAATGCATGCTTCATAGCATTGAAATCAGAAAATATTCTGACGAATTCTGCTCTCAGTGATGAGTCCACTGTACTTTTTTTTGCAGATGTAGCGTTAACAGACTGAATTTTTGAAAGAGGAAAGTGAGCATAATTTTCATTAGATATTTGTTTCGCGAAAAGTGATGTACACTTGTACACTCTACTTGTACAACCCATTTTGGGTCGCCGGAAGCTATTGCAAGTAAGTCATGGATTGATAGAAAATATTTTTTTAAATAATATAGAAATCATTTCACTAGCTAACGTGTACTCAACGATAGTTTTTTGACGGGTATATATAGATAGATTGAGCTTACCCGAACTACCCAGTTTCTTTGTATTTTCAATTAGATATATATATATAGTACTTTGCAGTATATAATAAATGTATCTGTTTACAATTCCTATTTTTTTCATTCATTTCCCAAACAATGTATAGAATGTTTTCAAGTATTGTATTGTCTGAATCTTTATCTTTATCATTCACCGCTTATTCTTTTTTTTAAATAAATGTTTGTACATACGTGATGTGTTAAAATAGTTTTGCGCGTGATTCTGTAAAATCATAAAGTTACGCGCTTCGGGCTATTTTTCATCAGCGCTTTTAACGTGAAAGTAAACAAACGTGCACTGACGAACATGAACCACACGGAATTAATTGGAAAGTAGGTTATTTAAATCTGCTGTTGATTTTCTGTCCAAAAAAAGTATGACATTGTAATTGTCAATAATAAACTGCCCTTCCAAGACGCTCAACCAATAACATATTGATGAAAAACCCGACAGCCTACGAATTATTTTATTTTATTAAGATGTTGACACAGCATTTGACTTAACTTTTTATTGCAGGTCTCAATCTAAGTGTGGACTCGATTACTGGCGTCTATGTTACTGTAGAACCAAGTTCTGTTGGTTCAAGCTGAAACGTGTTATCAAACACTACAGCAAATATTACTTCGTTTATGTGTGGATGAGAGTAAGTATTACTTGTTTTATGGATTTTTGGGATTTGATTATCTCTATATAATATAATATCAAAAATATATTCTGGAATACCATAATTATATGCTCTGTTACAACAACTCCCATCTTGGGCCTCGTCATACGGATACATGTTATCACCGTTTGTTTCAATATGCCGCTTATCTTATTGAACGTGGCATGGATACGGACAAATGTCCTACAAATATTTTTTTATTCAAGGTCATCAAAGTATATCAATGAGATTGACGCAATTCATAAGTCATATTTAACAGGTATGAGTGACGTAATTGTGCGGATTTCAGTAAAACTTCCTTAAGGCCTTTCAATTTTACTAAATATTAGGAAATATTTAGAACTTCGTATTTCTTAACTACAGTATGCTTTTTCTATTGCAGCACCCATGCGGATGTGAATGCCGTGGCAAGAAGAAGCAAAAGCCATACATTCCTCATCCAACTATATACCATCCGCCCACACCTCACACAATTTATCCGGATTTACCATACTATCCGGATCAACCTTATTATCCGGATACAGACCACCCCTATCCACATGGTCCCATTTGGTAATGAGGATCTATGACTATGGTTGTAAATGAAGACAGTTCAATAATGTTGGAATTCTTTTTATTTTGTTTTGTTGATGGGTTTGAAGTGCCACCGTGAGGATGTCGCTGCTGGATAACTAGTATATATTGGTTCTTCGCGTCTTCCTCCACCTTGGAATGTGATTTTAAACACTTTATTTTCAATTCAGTATATTTAGTGCATATTTTAGCACGGAGAAAAAATAAATAAAATACTGATTACTGCTCAATTATGGTGACAAATAGTCTCTTATGTCTCGCCAACGTTTAAAAGCCATGTATAGTTGAAGTAGGGATTTTTTGAGTTTGAATCAACAAATGTGGAAGTTTATTCATCTTACCCGATTGTACGGTCCTGGATAAAAAACATTAAGGCGTTTGAACACAAATTGAGCCAGGATAGAATATTGGGTACGCCTGTTGTATGCGAACCATGAACACCGAAACGTAGTATGTGTACCAGGTTAGGCCATAATTTCATTCCAATTTTTCTTATTTTAGTTCTTTTACGAGTTCGGGGACTAGCCAAGTGACTCCTGTAGTATTTGTACCTGAAATTATGGCCTAACCCTAACCTGGTACACATACTACGTTCCGGTGTCCGCCATCTTGGTTCACATACTACGGGATTACCGAATATTGTATCGATGTAGAGGTAGAAGAAAGAAGTTGTGTATACGAATTCGTAGGATACAATTTGAATGAACACAACGTTTGAATTAAAAACGGTTTTTATCATTTTTTTCGTAAACTATAAAAATATACAAAAGTAAACCTAATACTGGCAAAACAAAAGGCCATTTTGAAGTCTACAAAGATTCCAAATATACATTAGGTTTGGAAGCCCATTGTTTTTTCTCCTATACTTTTAAAACGCCAAAATGGACATCTTCTCTCACACTATTCGGAACAATAACAGATAGTGGCTCCTTGGCGTCATACTCAGTATCACCCCACACTACTGAATAAGTTCCCAACATAAAAGGCTATAGCTTGAAGTCGGATTTTATTCGCCATCGAAAAGTACTAATCACTTTTATTGTGGCTTAAAATTATAGGTTTTTCAAATTCCTGGGCATCGGAAGACTGATAGCAATATTTATAAAACCGTACATGTCACGCACGTCGCGGGCGTCTGTTATTTTAAAATAAGGAAAATAATTGTTCAAGCTTGGGTTATGAATATACAGTTCATTGACAATTAGGCGTTGGGTGATTGCATTTTCTGAAAATATTCACTGGATAAGATCTATGATGATAAGGTCATAAATAATATGCAAAGATTTAACTAAAATTTATTTCGAATAATATTTTTGTTACTCGATCAACACATTGCACTTTTTCCCGTTTGAGGATGTTTTCTATATCAAGTAGACGATGTTTTGACAAGGTCGATAACCTGAGATACATAGGCCGCAAAAATGCACTTATTGCGATATAAAAGCAATAATAAAAGTGTTCATCTAAGCTCAATTGTCATTTAAAATACAGAAAATCGGAAAATATCCGTATAGTGTATATCAGGGGTTGGCAATTACTTTTCTAAGTGGGATGGATACAGATAATAGACTTAGTTACTGGGCCGGATGCTCATTAGTGTTGCAACCCCGGTATTTTGACTTTTTCTCCAATCCCGGGGTCATTTTTGAGTATAATTCCGGGATTTAATACGTGACGTAGTGTTATTCTAAAACGATTTTACTGTGCATTTCGTAAATTGAGTTGTCAAAAAGTTACTGACTTGGCGACAATTATCCCTCAAAGATTGCTCTGTACTTAAGAATCAGATTCAGACACCATTAAAAAAAGATGGATATTTGATAAAAACAAAAGATACAGCCACGACGAAGACGAAGCCACGACGAAGACAAGCAAATGACGTTGGCACAAGCGCTTCATGCTTTGGTTGCACGCGATGAAAACGAATGTGTGTCATTGATAACGAAAGTGGCTGAGAAAGAAATGCTGCTATGTGAAACAAGCAGAGACAGAAAACATGGAAAAGTTGTAAGGCGCACTAAAATCAATTAAATCTACGTCAGTTAAGGCTGAGCGTGCATTTTTAGCGCTTGAATTTTTTCCCAACAAAATCGTCTTACTCTCATGTTTTCGCATAAGAAACATATATGTCAGTGTGTGTGTTTTTTAATTCTATTTATTCATTAGATGGTGGAAATCGTGACACCGGGATTTCAAATCTGGTCCCGAAATAGCAACCCTACTCAAAACTCAATATGAATTAAAACGGTTTATTTGCAAATAACTAGACACAATGATTAACGGGACTGATGTAGCCTACTGCATGCGTCCAGAAGCTTGTTTAAATCAGGCTCGAAGTTGCTTGTACTGATTCTTAAGACTGATTGTAGATTTGAATCCGTTAAAGGACATCTGTTTTTGCTTTTGTTGATCTTCATACACGGGAAGGTTTGCTCGCATATGTATGTTGATGCAAACACCACGAACATTTTTTGGGGAAAATCTTTGATATTTTCCTTTGTGAAGTGATTAATAAAACTCAATCAATGACTTCTTTTCAAAACAGCTTTTCAAAGCATTGTTAGCTTAGAAATAAATGAGTTCCACCTATAACTCGTCAGCGATCTTTTCAACATCGTATGAGAATGAAGACTCCAGTAAATCAAATGCATGCTTCATAGCATTGAAATCAGAAAATATTCTGACGAATTCTGCTCTCAGTGATGAGTCCACTGTACTTTTTTAGCAGATGTAGCGTTAACAGACTGACCCATTGAAAGAGGAAAGTGAGCATAATTTTCATTAGATATTTGTTTCGCAAAAAGTGTAAGCTTTGTTTGAAATGATTTAACCTCCAAATGTAAATCATGAGCAAATACTCCTTTTCCTTGGAGTTTTTTTTATTAAGTTCCTTCATTTTTTTGCTTTATATTTGTAGCAAATTCAAAATCAGGCAACCATTCTGTATCCTGTGCTTTGGTAAAGAATTCAAAGACTATATATTTCATTTCAAAAAACACGACAATGTCTTCTTCAAGTTCCCAAACTCTTTTAAACACGATTCCCAAACTAAGTCACCTTACATTGGTGTAAATGGTTTGGTAGCGTATATCAAAGAAATCGGAATCAGTGTTTTGCAAGAAATCCCGATACTGTCTGTGATTTAATCCTTTTGATCTAATTACATTCACTGCTTGTACTACTGGATTTACAACATATTTGAAATCTAACCTGAATTTGCAAAAACTTCCCTGATGTTCTTCCCTGTATTATACAGTGAAATGTGATATAACTTAATGAAGTGGGTAACCAGCTTGAATTTTGTCATTTATTTTTTTTATGAGTCTAGTATGTTTCTCAATTAATGACGACGCACCATCTGTTGTTATGCTCACAAGCTTATCGAGACATAACTGTGACTTTTCTAAAGAGTGCATAACACTGTTGAACAGATCTTGCCCCGTGGTAGTGCCTTTGAGACTCCCCATGGACAGCATATCTTCCGTGGTGCAAAATTGTTCGTCGATTCCCCTGGTAAAAATCAGTAACTGCGCTGTGTCCAATTTATCTGTGCTCTCGTTTAAAGCGATTGAAACATTTGAACGTATTTGCCGTATTCAACAGATTTGCTTGTAAGTCGGCAGCAATAGCTTCTACTCTACGAACTGTATATAGCTATCTGTGACATGGGAATCGCTCCGATTTTTCACTTCACTTCTGGACACACAATGTTGATAGCGTCAACCATGCAGTCTTTCACAAATTCTGCATCCGAAAGGGGCTTCTTGCAATCCTGTATGCTAAAACAAAACTTGCCTTTGTAGCAGCCTCTTGGGTCGATGAAAACTTGATAAGAGTACGCTGTTGCTGTTTCAGCTTTATACCCATATCTGCTGCCTAAATTATGTAGTCATAATTTCAGCAGGAACAAGCGGGCCGTATCCGGCCCGCTGGTCGTAATTTGCCCACCTCTGGTGTATATGGTTAAAGGTAATTTTATTATCTAGAGAGGCAATCAGTGAGCATTCGTTACAATACGTCATGGAATTACAAAGCGATAATGCAACATTTTTCGCAGTGCTAGTCCCAGAAATAAATATCATACACATTTCACGATCTAATCTACACCACAATACTCTATTAGCCACATAGATAATATTGAATGTCGTCGAAAGGATATTAACGTTACCTAACCATGTGAATCATGTAATCAAATATATTTTTGTACATGGATAGAAAAACAAAAAATCCGTATCAAATGAGAAAATGCTTTTTTGCCTCATACAATGAAATTTGTGAATACCATTGCAACGAGTTTTCCAGTATACGTTTTTGTTGTTCATCTGATAAATGCGTTGGACGATGGCAAGATTGCTTTTAGTTGGAGTCTTCGTGCTGTCATGGGCAGCGAAGCAGATTGAAATGGCTGAAGCAATACAACTATCATCTGGATTACAACGAGTGGCTCCATATTCGGATCATAGTCAAGATTTACCACAATTTTTTTTACCGTATATCCGTTCAAGGCGCAATGCAGATAAGAAAATTTCCTCTGCCTCCAGTGAGTCCAAAACAACGGAGGGAAATTGGTATTTATATATCAATCCAAGTAATGGAGACAGATACCTGAAAATCAGACCACATTTTACCATCCATTAAAACACGTTTCTAAATTGACAGCCCAGGGTTAAGAAATTGTTTTATACAAAGTGCAGTGCAGTTTAATTAACATAAAGTTTGTGTTTTGTTTATATATATATGGAATAAAAAAAATTTGGTAAATAAATTATAGAACGCAGTCTTTCCAACCCAATTGGTATATATATTACAGATTTTTCTGAATATGTCACTAATTTTTTTCTCTCGAAATGTTAAAAGGGATAAAATAATATATATATATATACTATTATTCTGAAATACGCAGGATATATAGTTATACGGAAAAAAGATAGAGATTCTTGCAGTTAATTGTACATATATATTTTTTCATTGTTTGTGTTTTGTGTATGATTTTTTTGCGGGAAAATCAAAATATACTTATTATTTTGGTGGAATACTTTCGTCTGGTTTAACTTATCTCAGACGCATTTTCTATTCTCGCCCACATTGGAATATTTATTTTTTCTTCTTATTTCATGAGAAAGCATTATAAAAAATGACTTATGAATTGAATTTTTTATTAAATTTGTGATATGCATATATACGGTATACGTCAATTATGTATTAGTTTTATATCCTAAGATTATGTTTTTTGAAACTTGACAAGTTTTATGATGTCTTTAAAGTGAAATCGAATATTTGCATGCGTGATATATGGAGGATGATATTACCGTCTGTAATGAAATATGTAATAGAATTTTCTATAATTTCAAAAACATTTTTAACTCAGTTGTACAGTTAATGTCGCTAGGAACAAATAATATGAGAAACAAAATTTAAAGATACATACTACTTTCCGTTCTTCGGCGCTCACGCGGTCAAAAATGTACCTATTTATAACAGTCCTTCAAAATGTACCAATTGAATTCAATTCGGCGTCATATAAATGTTTCCTTTTTGAAATTAATGCAAAAATATATATAGATGCATGTAAAAAAATGTTGCTTTACTCATATTCCGCCAATATTGTATCATTAGAGACGCATAAACATACACATTACGTCACTGTGACGTAATTTTTGGATGACGTAGTCATGTGGGGGTGAGGAATAACATATTGAAAAATTGTTGGGCCACGCCCGCGAGAAATACTTGTGATACTAAACTATACCAAGCCCAAGATAGCATGGACCTGGTTACATATTTAATAAACAAATATTAGTATTTCAAAAGCCGCCGCATATCCGGGCTGGATCAATTCGACGACCTAAGAATAACTTTGACTCCCGGTTGTAGAAATATTGACTTTGCCTCCAAGCTTGTCTTCTTTTATCACCACTGGCAATTCTGACACGTTTGAAACTATGTATATCCGTTCAAGGCGCAATGTCCGTAAAAAAAATTCTTCCGCTTCCAGTAAGTCCAAGACAAGAAAGAAAACTTGCACTTATATATCAATCAAAGAAATGGAGACAGACATTGAGAGTCGGCAATTACGCCGTGAAAACTTGTCAAACTCCAATTGCCAAGTCCCGCACGGATAGTAAGAGTGCCCGTCGGATACTCTGGTGCAGCGTCCGCGAAGGTTTGCATATGCTAGTTTCGAAACTGATCTACACCAGAGGAGCATGGCCACTGGCGTTAGGGGGTAAGTTGGCTCATATCTGGTAATCTTATTATATTCAAACTTCACAAAAACATCTAAATTATATCCGTCACACTACGGTAACCCTGGTTATTTTATTATAAAAATATACAATAAAACCAACATAATACTATTGATATTATAAAATGTTACCTTTTATATCTATAAGTGATACGGTGACCCGTATCAATACAACTTTTCAAGCTATGAATTAATAATCTTGCTTGGTGAAAATATGCAAAAAAATAGTTAGAAGAAGACTTGTGACCTTGCATAAAGCATCCCATAAAAAAATTAACAAAAACGTCTTACAGAAGCTACATTTTAACAAATATATTCTTATTTCTTTTTTCTTGAGGAAGCAGATTTTGCAGATGATTTTCTGGATCCTTCAGGTGATTTTGGTTTGTTTTGGCTGGCATTTTTAGCCAGAAAAGTCTGACTGTTCTTCCAATCTAAACAGGTGAAAAGCATAATGTTAAACCAGAATAAACAGATCTATGTCGTCCATGTCGAGTATGAGATTAATTAACCTGTTGTTCTTTTCATGAACATGGACTCGATGGTGAACGAAACCACAACCGAGCACCGTCAACTTCAACCCCACTTCGACGGCGAGGATTCAAAAATTTCTATTGTACATAATTATCCCTACTCGATTCGAACCTGCAAGCCTACGTAAGGTAATCAGAGGTGTGATGACATGTGCGCTTCAAACGGTTAGGGCAATGCACCAACCGTATTAGACATTTGACCTTCATCTCCATATATTTCGACATTGTTGTCCTGCTAAATTATTACAATGCTTTCCTGGAATCAAATATTGCCTTACCTGGTGGTACAGGTATGGCTTGTCTTTGTATAGCAATATCAGTAGAATCCTTCATCTCTGTGATGTTAGTGCCAATGTCTTCAACCAAAAGTGATAATTTTGTTGTGGCAACTTCAGAAATCAATTTTTCTGCATCCTTGGAACGGTTATCAATAGGAATAATTCAAACACAAAGAATTTTTTCTTACATATGCTCAGATCAAGGCTGTAGTTAAGATAAATTAAGACACTATCTTTGAGTGGACGAAATATATACGATGCGGATAATGTGATGAGTTGAGAATATTGTAACACCAAGAAACTAAATAATACTAGGGAAAGAGAAAGCATTTGAGTTATGGCAAAGGGACAAAGCAGTCCACTAAAACATAATTACAAATTGACTATGCCATCATTGCACCAACCAATATAATATTATATCGTATTTCATGCCACGATGCCAGTCACAGGGTGGTTCCAGTTTCGCTTACAATAGATACCCCCATTCTGGGGCTGGAGAATTTAGTTCTGTTGTACCAAAACTGTATTTTCATCACATTCAACTAAAAGATGGCAGAATAACAGGCAGTAACCTTGGCAGGAACATGACCTTTGTACCATGGCACAAACCCCTAAAAGAAGATCTATCCAAAATCGCCATTTATATTCCCTCTAGGTCTTCCTTCATAGAAGGATAAAATCCTTTTTATAAATCCTGACTTACATTTAGGCTTAGTGATTTGATTTCACCCTCCAAAAACTGAGCTTTAATATCATATTCCATACACTCAGATTTTTTCTCAATTTCAAGTCGTTGATTTTCAACTTCCACTCTTTTATCCTCTTCTTTTTTGTCTATTTCATTCATCTTGTTGGCATATTCCCAAACCTAATAAAAGTCAAACACTCAAACTATAACATATTATAGAGATTGTATAAAAACTGCATGTTCATAAGTACTTTTATCACAAAGTAACAAATGAACACTGCTCTATCATCTTATTTTATCAGAGATTACAAAATCATGTCAACACAGAACAAATTTCACATTGAAATTCCAATTCATAAAATACTAAGTAAGTTTTTTGACCTGTAATGTATCCGCATCTGCAAGTTTCATTAACTCAGTTGGCACTTCAATCATCAAAGAAACATGTCCTCTGTGTTCTTCTTGAGGACGAGATAGCACATACTATACAATTGAAAAGAATGGATTAGTGTTATTCCTTTTTTCTATTCAAGAATTTGACATAAAACATCCTCTAAATCTTCTACGCTAGGGTGTTAAATTGTTTAACTCTTTCCTGACACAACCTGGACTGATAAGCAGATTATTCTGCCATGTAAATAGGAGTTATTTTTGTATTATCCCATATGTTGACATTACTTAAAAATTACACCTCTATTGTTTGCTGAATTATTCCTGTTGTGAGAAGATATGGAATAAATGAATTTAATTTTTAAAATGTACTAGTTAAGTATTAGCACAAATATTTATCAGCTATTTTATCTATGTTTTTGAGATTTTTCATAATACAAGAAATTAAAAAAAAAAATTGGTACTAAAAAATGCCAGTATTATCAGCATTCATCTTACCTGGTATAACTTGAAATGAGCCAAAAAAGTGCCTGTAAAATATTTGCATATGAGTTGGGCATTTTGAAGGGTAATTTTTCCTTCAGATACATAATTTACTGCCATGTTTTGAAGAAGCCTCACTGCAGTAACTAACACTTGTCCTGTAATGCAAATATTTATACGTTAATGTGCTATATATATCATCAGCTTGAATAAAATATGATTTACTTTATAACCTTGTATTAAAAATATATCACAAAATTTTTGCATCAATTAGAAGAATCATGTTGTCATTTTGAAACATTAAATTTTACACTACTAGAAATATGCATCTTGTCATACAACCAAATAGATTGTGTGAGGGTCCCACATGTTTGAATCTCACATAAAGGAATAGCTGCTAGTCGGCTTGCTACCTCCATGCAAGAAAATAACCAAATCCACCTAAACTGGTAATCAGAGGATATAGGATGTACGATACATGGAGTTAAACTGCCATAGTGAGCTTATGTAATTCCTATAAAAGATAAAAGAAGTATGTAATGAATTCTTGGAATAACTTGATAATCAAAATTTGAATATATCATCATAAATAAAGCGAGAAATATTTATAAAGCATATTATATACTGGAAAATTCAATATTACATAAAAACTCAGCAGAAAAATTTGTATGAGTTAGAATACCTTGAGTTGCATCCAATATGTCTGAAGCAAAATTTAAACATGAAACAACATCCTTCCATGCCATGCCACGATTGACTGCATATTGTAAGACGTCATAATAATAATCAACCAACAGTGCTGATTTCAAGTCATCTTCCTCATCAATGGGACTGAGTTGCAGCTTTCTAGCAAGATATTCCTGGCCTTTGTATTTCTAAAAAAACGATAAGGTATAGGGAGATAAGGTGAAAATAATGACATTAGGCGACGATGAATATGCTCATACCACGGAAGTGAGAAACTTCTGGCTATACCAGTATTTTGTTATCCTGTCTTATCTAGATTTTAAGTTAAATATAAAATTTACCATCTATTGTTTGACTGTGTCTGAAAACAGAAATGTGGTGAAAATATACCAATTAACAACAAACGTTTATACATCAGGCAGTCTGAAATATAACAGCAATGGAGTATGATATGAACTGAAGAAATAAATAATTCCCAGCTAAATCTATAAGAAATACCGGTACCGTACCAGTAGACATTAATTCCTGAATCAAGTCAATGCCTCCGAAAACAAATACCTGGCTAACTAATCCTATAACCCGCCATGGACTGGTAGTGGTGACAGAACGAGAGACCGTGGTTTGGCATAGGATTAAACGCCTGATCGCCTTTCCTCTCCGACGGGATAAATATGTAATCCCTATCTTATCCAAATCAATGTTTTGTTTACAGCCGCATGCATAGTTTACAGCTAGGAAACAAGGTACATCAGTTAGCTATGGTACTTACCGGCAAACGAGCAATGTGCTTTACCTCTGACGGAGAAATTGGTAATGGGAGCATACCGTATCGCCTTACACAGAAAAAAAAAATACTGAGAAAAGATTCGTTTCCAAGGACCGTAAGCTGTTTCTCGTATGAGGCGAGTGGCCCTTGAAATCCGGATACGAATTTTGAATTTAATCTCAAATTGTTTTTATAATTTTGGCAGTATTAAATTCAAATCAATTTATCAGTTTTATAAGAAAAAATAATCTTTTTTTTGTTATAAATGTTTTAACCCTTTCCATGCGATTTTTATTTTTTATAAAATAATCGTATTTGCTACACCGACTATATGCATTTGTACCCCCACAACTAATCGATCGACTAACGAAAAAGTAATGATCCTCTGCTGCCCACTGACGGCTCGTTGGAAAGCTTATTTAAAGAGCTTGCAATTGGCGATTGAAAAAAAAATTTTTTTTTTAAAAGGGGTGGTCTGAGTCACAAACCGGATAAAAAAAGGCATTTTTTTTTCTTGGGTGTTGAAACTTCAAACCGTGATAAAAAATAGAAATATTCGCTAAATCCTTTACTGTTACCGCTTCTTGGTTGGCAAACAATAGCATAATATTGCTGTAGCAATTTCGTTATCTTACTCAAAATATTTTGGTAGATGGAAGGGGTAATATGTCTTCTATTACCACCCAAAAAACACCAAAATTTGCATAAATTTCAAAAACACTCCCTCGTTCCGCCGCAAATAAAATTCCCATGGTAAACGAAAGCGAGATTTACCGTCGCTTATGTTAATCTCAAAGAAGACTTCTTATCAATAAACTAAAACCCGGAAAAACTAGAACAACAGTTTGCGACCCATTGCTAAATAAAACAGTGGAGTACATCAACGTACCCGCCGCAATCTAGCGAGTTTTATCGTGGGTACGTATACGTGCCCACCGCACGGAAAGGGTTAACTGAGGAATATGAATGAGCGTTCAATAGTCGATCATAATTATCGAAGGTACGCCTGTAAGCAAAGTTGGTAAAAAATAAGTACCACCCTGCAACAGTGTTGCCTAACTGTTATATCAGCTTTATATTAGAACTTGTTTAATGTTTGCCTGGTTTCAAAATACAAGTATCACTTTTGATGAAGATCGAAGGAAAATAATACCGAAATTTGTCAATACAGTATATTGAAATTTTACTGTTTCACAAGTTTTCATTATAAAAAAATTTGTTTATGAGTATATTTCATCATTTGCATTTTTTATTTGTTTAAACGGAGTAATCAAAATCAATTACACGGTATATTCACACTCATTAGGTATTGCACTTCCCAATTTAAGCATAAATGCGATATCTAAATGGAAGATTTTCAAATTTTGCAGCGACGACTCCGGATTTTTGTGAACCTTTAGTAATATGATGTCACGTGACTTTATTTTGTCGTTCCTGCTTCAATGATTACCTGATTGACAATTGTAGTAGTTTTTCTCCAGCTGGAAACTTGGTGTCAATAGTTTCTATGTTTATCTGCTTGTTTTGATGTTTTTACGTGAGTAAGTCATTGCTGTCGTGCTTCAAACACATTTTAGAATTGATAGCCTAATTCCGGAATGGCTACCAATCTTGCTGTAGCTACGAATATACGAACAAGTAGTAATGTTTTTGAGGGCGTGGGATCGCGAGTTGTTCGTGGCCCCGATTGGAAATGGGGTAGACAAGTGAGTTTTTCCTCATTATGCAAATCTTTATTTTATACATGAATATTTTTTTGTTTATTTACCATAAGTAAATTTGCGAGTAGTTCGCTCCTGGTTAATATTTCAGTATTTAGATATTCTATTTGGCAATCTGGAGGAAACAAAAGCTAGAAATGATCCTGACGCAAAGCTTTTATTATTCGATACAGTACGGTACCATAACATCTTATAGCAGTATAGGATATATTCCATTCAGACAGTCACTGTGTTAGGTTGAGTTGCAACATTAATCACATTTAATTTTCCATTTTTCCCTAGCTTTCTGAATCGATAATTTTTCATACTTTGTACCTTTTAACATTTGTTTCTGTATTATTAGAACTGTTTCCCTCATTTTTTGGATTATGAATCGGCATAATTTTTTTTTGAAATTCCTCCATAACTTTTATGATAATGTTCTTCTCAGTAATTGATAGGTACACTTAATGTTAAAAAGCTTTGTAATTGCATGATGGTGTTTATTGATAACTTGTGATAGAATACATTACAGTTTCTAATTACTGATGCATTAATGATTTTCTTTGTTGTGTTATAAAAATAAGATTGACACGAACTTGAATATATTTTTCAATCGAATTGAACATTTACTCAATATTTTTTGTTTGCCCATTTGTCTTTGACAAGTTTTCGCAAATCATTAATTTTTGTTGGGTTGTTTTGGTCAATATTTTAACAGTAATATTTATAACTTTAAAAATTAATAATATGTTTATAAGACAGTGGACATATGGATTGTTTTGTTATTATGTTGTTGTGGTATTCTTGATATTTAAATTTTTATTCTTGTAATTATTTTTGTGAAAAAAGTCGTTTTTTTCTCTAACCTCTGGAACAATTGCTTCAAGATTTTCAGTGTTTTGAGATTGTATTTTTCGCTAATAGGATATTATATTTATTTAAAAAAATTGTGGGCCCTATGAGATTATTTTTTAACTATGCATTTTTGTGTGGTGACGTCATCGAAATTGAAAATTGTGCACCTTGTGGCGATTCTGCATTCACAATCATTGTGTTCTGGGAATCAGTCGAAGTTGAGAATCCACTAATAGGTTTTGTACCAGTACTACTTCGTTTTGGCCTTCATATTCATATATTTGAGCATTGCAGCAATCTTAAATATCTATTTTTGTCAGGATGGAGGTGAAGGACATGTTGGTACAGTAAGATGTTTCGAAAGTGCGGAAGAAGTTGTTGTCGTCTGGGATAATGGAACTGCTGCCAACTATAGATGTAGCGGACAATATGATCTTCGAATACTAGACAGTGCCCCATCAGGTTATTTTGTAATAACATAATTCACTAATTCAATTTATTGATTCAAATTTAGTACCCTAATAAGTTTGTGAAATCATGCTTTTTTAAAATTATTCATGTGCCTTATGTTCTCGGATCCAAAAAGATATTAATTATGTTGCTTCTAAATCTCGCTTCTGCTACAATGACTAAATAAAAGCTCAATTTGATAAGATCATCAATATACCGACACCGTCACTGTTCTTCTCAGCTTTCTGCACTTGTTCTCCATGAAATATATTCAATCAGTGTGCTATCAACTGTCACCACTCACTAGTTTGGTTTTATGTAAATTATTTGAATTCCAGGTGTCAAACATCATGGTACTATGTGTGATACATGTCGACTTCAACCGATCTACGGGATTCGATGGAAATGTGCTGAATGCCATAACTATGACCTTTGCTCTGCTTGTTACCATGGTGACAAGCATCACCTGAGGCATAGGTTTTATAGAATCGTTTTTCCTGATGAAGAACGGTTCGTTGTTATATGTTTATTTTTCATGGACTTATTTTCTAATTTTGTATTGCTTAGTGGTCTCTAAGGTAAGGCATTAATATGTTATTTTACGTTTGTTCTGATTATAGATATAAACTTCAGAGTGTCTTCAGAGATTTAATGCTTCGCCATAAATAATAGTTCGTTTTTTTTTAACAAGAATACTTTCTTGCATGTGTGTTCATTTTCTATTGACTTTCAGTAGAAGTCTGAAAATCTATATAGTTAGTCAATTGTATATAAAGTTTTAGCCTAGTAAATGGTAATTATTAATTTACAAATGTTTATAGAGTTTTACTTGACTCGCGTAAAAAAAGCAAGAAGATTTGTGCTCGAGGAATTTTTCTCGGAGCGAGAGTGGTAAGAGGAGTGGATTGGCAATGGGAAGACCAAGATGGTGGGAATGGACGCAAAGGAAAGGTAAACCAGCTGGGGGTTTGAATTTTAACCATTTTGTGTTGAATTTTATTGAGTCTGAGAGAAGTTTCACCAGTCCCTCTTTAGAGCAATGAAGTATTGACATGCTTGGGGAATTTATCATCAATGTATATTTAATAAGATATGTTTGTGTCTTCATGTGCTATACATTATTCATGCTTGCACAGGAAGGCTTATTATTATTTCCATAAAATATACAATTGGGATAGGGTTAAAAGGTTGACTGAAAATGAAACTACGGTAATTGAATAAAAACAAATTGCATTATTTTGCATATTTCTATCTGAAATTAAATTGAATGTCTTATAACAACACATGTAATATCAAGCATACATGTGAGATATCTGTTTATTGTGTATATTGATATTTTCACTATAGATATAATAATAATATAATTTAGATCTGTACCCAAAATAAGACCCATTTATTGAATCTGTTTGTTCCCAAGTTTGGCCCGAAGTACTCGTCACTGTAAAAACGTCTTAATAAAAGTTCTTTTCTACTTTTCAAATTTGAATTTTCTATTCGGGTGGTATTTCCAATGTTTTGATTTCAATGTTTCAATTTATTGTTGTCAAATTCTTTGTTTCCAATGTCATTAATTTGTTTGGTTGAGGTTGACTAGACTCTGAATTTCTGAATATTTTCAGGTAACAAAAATACAAAACTGGACATCACAGCATATGAGAAGTGCCGCTTATGTCATGTGGGACGTTGGAGCTAAAAATCTTTATCGAATGGGTTATGAAGGAATGATGGACCTAAAAGTTGTGACAGATGCAAAGGGACCAATGTTCTATCGTGATCACTTACCTTGCCTCGGTGAGGATAATTTGCCTATATCTAAAATAGGTTTCAAATTTTATTGTTTACAATGTAAAAATGCGTAGGACCCATCTCTAATTTCATCATGAACTTATTATAAATTATATGAATTTTTAAATTTTGAAAATGTCAGATTAGAAATGTTAATATATTTCTTTGGCTTTTAGTCTAGTTATTTCTATAATGATGCCATCTTATGTCATCAATACTTCTTTTTAATATTAATTGTTATCAATAATATAGTCAGTATTATTTCGAGTAGACTTTAATGGCTTTGTAATAAAGTGGAATTAGATTTTTATCTCTAACCCTTCCTTAGATTGAGAGGTAATAATTTTCCAGGTCAACTCAACGGAGCACCGGCTCAACCTGTTACAGAATATCATATTGGTGATCAAGTAAATATAAATCTTGACTTGGAAATTGTTCAATCATTACAGCATGGGCATGGAGGATGGACAGAGGGAATGTTTGAGGTTATTTTTTGTTTCTTCAGTTGCATTTTCCCTATGCCCCCTATTCCTATGCAATATGCACATGGTGTGCATTATTGGACACAAAGTGGGCCTATAAATTGGTTTGTCATTTTGTTGTTGTTGATCATCCTGTTAGTATGTCTTTCCCTCTTCCTCTTGGGGAAAAAAGCTTTTCTCGTTAACTTCTGGAACAATCGTCTTAAATTTTTAGTGGTTAAAGAATGTATTTTTTTGTTAGAAGGTCATTACTCTTATTTATTCAAAAATTTCTGTGGCCTCTATGGGATTCGTCTTTATGACGTAATCAAAATTAAAACTTGTGGCGATCCTTGTGGCGGTTCCGGTTTTCTAAGTTCAAATCTGCTGCTTAGCTGTGATACGATAACCGCTGGCTACTGTGACAGATTGCTTACCCATACCATTTCATGTTCATATATTTGAGCATCGCTCTCTCTTGAATAAAATATTATCATTATAATGTATGCTTTATTTACCGAAACATTTAGTGAAACATTTTCAACATAATCAATGGGTGCAGTGGCCTAGTGTTTAAAGCGTTAGATTTAACTCTGATGGCATCGCAGGTTCAAATCCCATGCCCACCACGTCACCCAGGATGTGATAAATTGGTTATGCAATGCCGAACCAGGGAAATTCTAGCTCGTCCAAAACTATAGTATCTCCTTACCAAGCAGTGGCCGAAAGGTGCAGAGCCTTGTTCATAGGAAAGGGCATTAAAATACTTTGTATACAAAACTATCCAATGAATTTGTGGAATATTCAGATTTATTTAGATGCAAGCAAATCATCATACAAAATTATTTTTTTATATTACTAGATATAACTTTAATAGGTTTTTGTATTATTCATAAAAAGATTTCATATCTTAATTGTATCAATTTTTATCCCTATTTTGCAGACCTTGGGTACAACAGGAAGTGTATGTGGAATAGATGAAGACCATGACATTGTAGTTTCATATTCTAGTGGAAACCGGTAAGCATCTCTTAAGTCAGTGATTATACTTAATTGATTACCCACATAATTACATGGTCAACAGTCAACACCCAAAATTTATTATGTTCTTAAATATATTTATGAACAATTGAACAGTGTTTTCCTTTTTCAATGTGCCATTTCAGGGGTTCTATTAATCTTATCTTCACCATAAGAAGGCATTTTTAACCATTTAAAGCACAACTTTCAGATTACTATTCAAATTTCACATCTTTTCGGCCACAGAATCCATTTGTGCCTAGATATATGTTCAGCGCTACTCGTAGTGCGTGCCATTATTTTATTCTGGTTTTCTTATTTTAGTTCTGTTATGAATTCGGGGACTGTCTGTGTTAGCCAAGTGAATATACCCGCTGTCCATAGGTTTCAGTCCCTTTGATATAAAATAGCCGAACAAAACAAGTTATCTCTATCATATTGTTATACACACTTTTGGAGCGCCTGTTCCGCTTTATTACTGAATGCCAGTCCAATTGTCACATAATGAGCTCTTCTGCCATATACAATATGGACTCTAACCCACTAACTTCCCTTCTTTAATAGTCACTACCAAATTTTTGTTCCACAGATGGACTTTCAATCCAGCAGTATTAACAAAAGTTGCACTCAACTCAACTGAATCTGCTGTCAACAGAAGCGGAAGTCATTCGGAACAAAAATTTCAGGTTTAGTTTGTAAAAAAAATAAAAATAGTCTAATAGTCTATAATAAATTGTTTCGTGTGCGTTTAACATTGTTCAAATAGATATTTTGTGTCACTCAGAGCTATTTATACTTGTAAGGATTTTGATGATAATATTTCAACTATTAATTGCACGTTATTTAAGTTACTCAGGCAGTATTCATATTAGTTGAATAGCATTGGTGCATATTCACACAAATTTTGAGGTTTTTTAAAAATTATTATAATGTTTAGGTTGGAGATTTAGTTCAGATATCGTCAAACACCTCTCAAGTTAAAATGTTACAAAGAGGGCATGGTGAATGGGCTGAAGCAATGATCCCTGTGAGTATAGTCTTTAGTAAATTATTTTAAATTCATGACTTTATCAAAATAATATGAAGGATAGCAATGAAAAAATTATACGCAGAAGTCAGAACAATATCTTGCTTTTTATGTTGGCTATAGCTACCTTTTTCTGTCATTATTTTCAGTTAAGTTTTTGAACACAAGTATACCCATGGACTGCATAATATTATGTTGTTATTGGTGTTTTTCATTGTTGGTATATTGTGAGAGAATCCCCTTTCTCTTTCCAGTGGACCAATTACTTTGGCCAATTTTACTGAAATTTTCAATTGTTGTAGATTGTATTTTTCGCTAGGAGGCTATTATTTATATCAAAAATTTCTGTGGGCTTTGTGAGATTCCTTTTTCGTGTGCTATGGCGTCATCAAAATTGAAAATTGCACACCTTGTGGCAGTTCCTAATCGTGACTGCAGTACCGGTAGTTCTACCTGTGACAGTTTGCATATCCGTACTACTTTATTTTGGCATTCATGTCCATATATTTGAGCATCGCTCTCTTGCTATATTTTGGATTTAAATCATGCATTTCTTTCGAATCTGTTTAGACTCTGGGGAAAATTGGCCGCATTCAACAAATTTATCATGACGGAGATATAAAAATTGAAGTAGCTGGTAAGTACAAATACTGTAATATAAATACTGTAAATATACTGTAAACGTTACTGCAATGTGTAAATGCTGTTACCATGTATAATAGTTAAATTTATTACATTTACATCCCACTCTAACTATAATAAGTCATTCAAGTTTGAATGAATTTTAATTCTGGTCAAATTTCCTTACCTGAGTAGCTTTTCGTATGGCTGATCTTGGTTGAATAGAACTTTTCACTCATTTCTGCCAGAAAGATTTTGATTCTTGCCTACACCTGGCCCGTAACTTCAAATATCTGCTTGATTTAGTGCATTGTTAAGAATTGCAGAAGTTTTCCATAGGTGAATACATCAATCTGATTCAGTATTTTATACATTTCAGGCTCATCATGGACGTACAATCCTATATTATTATCAAAAGTCGATCATGGTCAAGCTACATCCGGAGGTATTTTAACTGATTAGCATTCAATCATTACAGTATAGGTCAGGGCTGGGCAAATTACATCCCGTGGGCCGGATCCGGCCCATCAAAGTGTTTCATCCGGCCCACTTGTGCCTGTAAAAACACTTTCTGTTTGTTGTACATCAGCTGTTAAGCTAGTTATTCCTAAATGAACTTTTTTTGTTCGTAGTTTCATATTTGTAACTGGCCCACTTAGAAAAGTAATTGCCCATCCTTAATATAGGTGATCCAGAAGAAAAAATGGATGTTTCAGCAATTCACTTTAAATTATATTTCATCATTTAGAGCATTTATCTCAACTACTTAAGAAGCTTTTTGAGACACATGTTTCTGGTGATATTAACGAAGAATTAGTTAAAGCAGCTGCTTCTGGTGATGTTCAGAAATGTGAAGAAATTTTACAAAGACCTGACGCTGATGTAAGTTTTATTCTATTTTAAGATTACTACTAAATTTTAGTGAATTTTTTTAGTTTATTATCAACACTGTTTCATGGATTGAATTTTAATATCAAAGGATTCAACATCATCCCCATTCATTGCCTAATCATAATTGCTTTATCTTATTTGACTGACGACTGTCTTGAACAATTATATAGTACAGGATGACCCAAAAACAAGCTATATATTTGCTGTCGATTGGGTTTATACAGGACTATCTATCTGTGTCAGGATATATAGGGTGTCTATAAAGTCTAAAAAATTTCATAATTGCAAAGGAAATTAATCGATACCAAACATTGTTTTGGCCCTCACAGATGTATTAAATGAAGTGAAAATACTTCATTACGGATTAAAAAAAACAACAAACCTGGTTAAGATATATTGAAAACTGACTTCGTAACAAAATTGATATTGTAAAGGGACTTTAAGGACACCCTGATGAAGAAAATTTAATAATCACTTGAACTTCTATTTGTGTATGATTGTAACCAGAACCTTCAGTAATCCATGACACTTTGCACGAATCGCTCTCTTAAATGACCCGCGTTCAGTTTTTTTTGTCTCACCCTTTATATACTCTCATCTTATTCCAGGTGAATGGTCAATTTGCTGGCCACACCGCCCTGCAAGCTGCATGTCTTAATGGTCAAGCAGATGTTGTGGAATGCCTCATACGCCACGATGCAGACTTAGAGATTGAGGTAAGTCTTTGTGATGTTCTTCTCCAGTCTCTAAACATGGAGTCACCATAATTTATGGTATTACTATGGCAAGGACAAGGTTGACTTTTGACACTCAAAACATGATAAATTCATTTCCTGTTGTTGCCTAATAACTAATAATTACAAACTTTTGTAATTCATTTTCTGTTTTACTTCAGGACAAGGATGGGGACAGAGCTATACACCATGTTGCCTTAGTTGATGAAGCTGGTGTAATTGAACTTCTATCAAATGAAGGTAAAGAAATGATAATTGAAACTATACAACTTTTAACTGAATCAATTCTTATTTGATTCACTATTTATTTGTAGGTTGTGATTTAAATGCCAGAAACAAGCGACGACAAACAGCTTTGCATATATCTGTCAACAAAGGCCATGTCTGGGTTGTGAGAAAACTTTTGGAATTGGGATGTCATGCCAGTCTTCAGGTATACAATGTTTTTTTTACATTGTGTTCAAAAGGTGATTAAATTGCTCTATGTTTATTTATATTCAATGCTGTGAAGTCTGAGTAAAAACCTGAAATCATGAATTTAAACTCCCATAATCGGAGTCTGGTTTTTCATCACCAAACCTTTTTGCTCATGGATTATACCACACCGAAATGTTTCCAAGTATGAGGAAAAACTCTTTGGAGGTGCCGAATTAGACAATAAGCTCATCCACCCTGTTAGAAAAACATCATGTACAACGATTAGTGTCCTTGTTTAATCAATTTGTGATAAATTTATTTGGAAATTCACTTTTATTCTATTGCCAGGGGTTGGTACATAAAAAGTTTGAGAATCACTTGTTTAGACTTTTCATAAGTCTATATTTACCCATTAAATTACCTCATCCTTCTATTACCCTTTGCAAATATATGATACATAATTCTTTGGTCACTAGGATGCTGAAGGAGACACTCCACTTCATGATGCAGTCACAAAAAAGAGAGATGACATGCTAGGCTTCCTACTTGGCGCAAATGCTGATGTCACAGTAACCAACAATAATGGATTCAATGTTCTGCATCACGCGGCTCTACGAGGAAATCCAAGGTATAGTCATAATTTGTGTTTCATAGGACCAGTTCAGTACTAGTTGAGTCGATGTATGACGATTGGGATACATTTTAGTGCATTGAGGGTCAAGGAAGTTATGCAATGTATTCTCAGTCTCCAGTATACATTTCAAATGGAGTTTCTATTTTTACAATTACCATTTTAATATTTTGATTTTTGAATGAATGGATTTCTAAATTTTATCGAATAAAAATAATTCAGGAGTTAGGCCTTGTTGCAACACATTCACATTGTTCAATCATACTGTTAACCACGACATGCAGACAAATAAGCCTACATCAGTACAACCCTGAGGACTAAGAAAAACGAAAATGATACACAAGCACATTGCTTTTCATATTCTCGCACATGTGCCAAAGTCTTGAATCAAACCTAAATGAACACCTTCACCATATTCATGAAGCATTCCAAAATACCAAAGTCGTCACCTCAAACGTTAATTGGGTCCTTGTTAAGTGGTCAACACTATATATATTTTTTACAAACTGTGACAAAATAAAAAGTACACAAACTCAGTGCTTTTCATACTCCCACACTTATGTTTAACAATTCTTCTAAGGTCATGCATAAAATCACATCTAAATGAACATTTTTGCTAAATATAATGCATTTCAAAATACCAAAGTCGTTGCCTCAAACGTTAATTAGGTATTGGGTATAAAAAGTTTTATACTTCCAAAGTGGTCAACCTTCAGATTTATTTTGAAGAACAGGATTAGATCTGTTTATATGGTGTGAGATTTTGAGAGTAATGTTTTTCATGAGAACAGTCAAGGATACCAAGCAAGCAGTATGCAATGGTAATTTTCCAACAAGACGCTGTCTCACTATAGACATCCTTATATATACTAATAGGGCTCTCCCCACGCGTATCTTAAAACGACGCATCTGTTAGGACTATAAATAGACAGATACGACGGCTGCGATGAAGACATTACTATCAGCTGTGCCTGTGGAATGCAAGACGACGACGACGTCTCAAAGCCCTGACTAGTTATACAGCACCGCATTCCATTACGCAATGAATTACATTTGTATTAACCCTTTTCAACTTTGAAATTGTCATCTTTGGATAACTAATTTCTTATCTAATGGTTGAATTGTAAGTACAACCATTGCTAACTCAACATACATTCGAGGAACGTGTGTTTTTTAAAACCAGAACCTAAATTTCAAATTATATTTCCCCATTGTACCTCCAACCTATTATGTACTATGCATACTTCTTGCCATTTTGAATCAATTCAACATAAAACTTCTATTTGCATTCGTTTTATTGTGATGTGGTTAAAAAAGATATAAATAGTACTGTAATGTAAATCAAAAAGGAAAATGACAAATTGTAAATGAACTGGAGAGATATCGCTTCACGATTAATTATATATGCATCTTTTGATGGTAGGAAGTAGGAACATATAGTATTCAAGGCATTTAAACAAATATTTTTGGCCTTCAAGAATAGCGCTCATTAAAATATAAAAGAGCTTGATACTATTTAATTGCGTAAGTAGGGGATGTACGCTCCTAAGATCAGAATGTATAAATACATACAACGGAGTTCGAAATGTTCAAAATGAAAATGCTGCATTGCCCAAATTAAATAAAAAAGGAAATACTTTCAACAAACAGATTTAGTAAACTCATCAATCTATTAGAAATGCGGCGCATCGAATTAATAACTTTATAATAATTATTTTCAAATTTAAGCGCAAACTATGTTCAGCTTACTATAATGTAGGAATTTTATGTACCTGCATTTTCAATTGAATTATCAATTCATGCTCTAAATCAATTGGATTTAGAGCAAAAATGCCATAATGCGAGGTCATAATAGATACACAACATACATACTTCTCGTGAGAAAAATCAATAATAACTTCAGTCTAAAACATTCAAGAAACTGGTAAAAATATTAAAACAAGATATAAATTTCGCAATAACGTTTAAATAATATCAAAAAACTTAGAAAGAGAAGAAGAATAAAAAAATTATTTTCATAATATTATTTGAATTTGACTAGTAATAATTGTGTTACAAGAAATAGTGCATCAACCGTTGGCGATGTCGGCTCTGGTATTTAATCTTTGAATTTTTCTTTGAAGAAGAGCAAAGTGCTATTAATTATTAATTTGGAAGCAGAGCATGATAAATAAGAACAAATAGTATAAACATTGGACATGTTCTGTTAATCAAGCAGCTATAGGTAAAGAAGAGGCTTAGCAAGATTAGTTGGAGAGAGCAGAAAGCGGTGCAAGGCAACAGCTGGTTGAAGGGGACCAAAACACAAGGGTTATTGTTTCGCTTTGGTACCGGTTGACCAGCTTTCGTCAGGCATCATGCAGTTAGTGTAATTAGTGCTAGTAGCAGTGAGTTATAATAGTTAGTAATTATTACAATAAGTGAGAGTGCAGGAAGTGTTATGTTAAAGTAGGTAAGAACAAAAGTGAGATCAGAATCCTACCACTTTGAAGATATTTGCAATTTTAACTATTTTGAACTACTCTAATTATTAAATCCGGAATCTCCTTTGAAAGAGCTATAAACCCGAACAAAATTGGTACAGTATATTGAAATGACGCCATTAATATGTGTATTCTAACTGTAATATCAGTATTACCTAGTTTGGATTAACAATCAAATGCTCGAATGTTTTTGGCTGTTTATTCCGTGGTAGCAGACATACTTCTTTACATTCCATGAGAGTTTATTCGTATCGGTCGTTTTTGAAACTTCCAAAGATACCATGTAAGATGTAACGAAGTACGTTAGCCACCACGGCATTACTTTCTATACTTATATCGCTTGTTGAAAACTATTTTCTGTGCTCGACCAACAGTCGATGATAGCTATGCTCCCAGATTGTCAAAAATCTGCAATCGAGTTTGTTGTGTGTCACCTGCTTAAAGAAAAGACTGCATGTTATGTCAGTTTTACCATTTGCTAATTGGGATTCATACAGCTTGTGCTAAACATGCTCCTTGCTTTTGAGCACATAGTCCTAGTAGTAGTTTAGAATTCATTACATCAGTATTTGAAAGACTGTTAATATTAATAGTACTTCTAAAAAATACTCACAAAATGTTCGTACTCACTTGAAAGCTCCCACATCAGCCGGTTTACGATTGCCGTGATTGACTTTGTCCGACTGGTTTTTCCATTACTGTTTCCATTAAGAGGGAATAGATAAGAACAAAACACAATCTGTAAAATAGTCATCGAAAATGTCGCTTTATTGATAACAGACTGAGTTATGACATTGCGCATTATTGCTATCTTCGAGACTGGAAACTATAATCATTAAGTGTGGTAATACAGGGCATCTATTTTATGGTTACGAGATAAACTAGTGTACTTCAATACAAAGCAAAATCTTTTTTTTTTAATAGTGTTCTCGGTTTTGTCTTGTGCAGTATGCCATATATTGATTGAACCTTCATACAAGTTCCGATGTATTAAACTCTAAAAATATATAACAGATTTATCTCTGTACTAACTGTCCTACGAAAGTATCTAGTACTAGTCGGCTGTAAATACAGGCATTGTCTTTGATTGATGCCTTCAATTGGCCTCTCCAATCAAAGCAAATATCTGATCTATTCATACATTGCATTGATATGAATGTACAGATCCCAAATGAGATGGTTTCTCAGCATTTCTATCACTCTTATATACCGACCATATCGAATTGCAACAACTGCAGCCCCTTTTTCTCTTATTTCTATATTAGTTAATTTATTATAAGAACTTCGCCCCTGAGTCACACTCATCATCTGTTCGAGCCTGTCGTTCGCAGTGTTGTCGACGCCTCGAGTTCGCAAATGTCTTTCGCAGTTCTGGAATATGTGATAGAACATGGGGCAGCCTCTTCGTTCGTACTCACGATCTTGTATATGGCGTAGATACCCTGTGCGCAAAAATCGTTCACAAGTTATAATCCATGCTTGTCCGTTTCTGATAAAAGTCTGTCTCAAGGCGAAGTTGTCGCAGCGGTGCGCTGTATGACGTCATGATCTCTAATTGTAGTACCTCGATTACAGTTATGTTATCGGTAACTTCCAATTTTGGTTAATGCTTCATTTAAATATACAATTCGATTTGTAGGCCCCGCAGTGCAATGGATATTCACGTGCGATTTTTGTATGAATATTTCTATAACACTGCCCTGAAAAGTCAAACTAATAACATAAAATACGACATTTTAAAGCCATACCTAAAATAATATACAACGATTGTACGGGACAGATAGATGTAGATGCCTAATGGTATCGAATATACCGAAATAAAATATATTTTTCGAGTGTTCTATGTAATCATTATTGCACTTTTTATCAGGTAACAATATCCTTCAATATAACTAATAAACATGAATGATAGCTTTGCGTCGTTTGTAACAGTATACCATGATAATCATAACTCATTAAAAAAACACTTCAGATTTTTGGTTAGTAAAAATGTCTGTTGTACGTATGGAAGAAATTCTGTGCGTATGAAGATGATGTTTCGGATTTCATACCCTTGAGAATTATGACGATTCAGCGAGATGTCGTCATCCGGTTTTATATTTCGTTTAACGTTACCCAGTTGGTCAGCATGATAGCGAGTTCGTGTGCATTTTTTTTTGCGAAATCACTGTTAATATTTTTAAACGCCTGATCCAACAACTCACAACTTTTTTCAATCTACAACAACGGCACATAGTACCCCTATAGCTTTCGTAAGAATGCAAGCACTCAGTTTCGAATTTATATTTAACCATCTTTTTCGTATGTACAAAGATGAACAAAATTATTATGTATGTATATTTGAACTATATAAACTCATGGCTTCGAGTTCATTTACTTTGATGCTGGCTCTTACAAAAATTCAGAACATATTCCTGGTTTGGTAGCTCGGTGGTTCACGACTATTTTATCATAGCATTCCATTTGTTTGATGAGTGTTTCTTGTAAAATTAACATTACTTTTAGCCATGATTTACATTCACTTTCTAGAGTAGCAAAAGTAGCATTCGCATGTGACACCACATCGCGCAAAATAAGTCAATGCAAGCGATTCATTTCATGCTACATCTAAGTTCTATGAGGCTCGCACAGCTAACACCTTCAAGTTAACGACATTAGCAGATCCACCATGCATTTTTTTCTGAAAGTCTATGACAGCAGCTGAGTACCAAGTAGCAGTTTTAAGGTGTGAACGTAGTAGTACAAAATGCTTTTCGGAATCACAAAATCACATTCGAGTTCAATATTCGCTTTCATATCTTGTTCAATACAAAAACCAAATTATCAAAATGGCACCAAAGAAAGGAGGCAAGAAGGGAGCAAAGAAAGAACAAAAAGCCAACTCCAATGTATTCTCTATGTTCGACCAAAATCAAATCCAAGAATTCAAAGAAGCTTTCTCTATGATTGATGCCAACCGTGATGGTTTCATTGACAAGATCGACCTCAAGGATACTTATTCTGCTCTCGGTGTACGAGACATCAAGATGGAAAAGTTGGAAGCAATGATATTGGAAGCACCAAGTGCAATTAACTTTACCGTTTTTTTGAACATGCTTGCCGATAAACTTCAAGGTACTGATCCAGAAGATACTCTTGTACAAGCTTTCAAGATTCTCGATCCAGAGAATACCGGAGTCATCAACAAAGATGTCTTCACAGAAATGTTCATGACACAAGGAAAAAGGTTTACAAAAGAAGAAATTGACCAAGTTCTTGAAATTGCACCGGTAGATGTCGCTGGTAATCTCGATTACAAAGCACTTTGTTACGTCATAACTCACGGACAAGAAGAAGAATAAGTCTGACATCAAAAACTTAGACCCTCTATATTTTTTTTCAATTTTCCAAAAGACACAAAACAATGAATAATTAGAGCAACATTTAGTAATTATTACTTGGTATTTAAATGTGATGGATGCTAATTGAAGGCTGAATGTTATAATAGTGGACTTTAATTTTGTTATAACACACTTTTGAAACATTAATTTTTAAGAAAATAAACTCATTTGAACTGTACGTTGTAAGAAATGTTTATTTTTCAGTTACTTATACGGTTTCCTGATGAATTGAGCGCATTCGAGGCAAACATGATAAAATTTAGATGGTAGAGGTGTGTGTTTCTCAATATCAATTTCTAGGTAAAGTTTACATTCGTGTCAAGAATGTATAAAAATGATTATAATACGGCTGATTAACACGTTTTGTGGTTTTTCATCTGTATATATCAAGCTGATAGATCATCTTTGTCATCATCTTAAATTGCCAAATTTTGTTGTGCAGTTGTGCTTAAAAAGTCTGGTCTAGGCGACTTTCCCGTATAAAACATCTATCTAGTTTCCCGCAACGGGTTTTTTATTGGTTTTATTTCGCTAGGCTCCAAATATCGTATAAAGTTCAGAATAAAAACACATGCAATCTACGTCGGAGATTATTCTTCATTTGCTTTAGTCAAAATGTATTAACGTGCCCATTTTCTACGGTTCAATTCAAGTTTTCCAGAAAATAAATAATTCCAGAAGTATTTTCTTCAAACACAAAATATATATATATAGTCAGTCCCAGAATTGGCGGCGGATGTTGACGTGACCGTTCGAAATTTTACAATAATCATTTAACCTGAATGAAACTCTTTGTGAAAATGATTCAAGAACAGATGATAATTTTAGTTGTGGGTTAAACATATCTTTCAGAAAACCGATAAAGTAACAGTATTATGGTATAAAGGAAATATACCGCCCTGATTTTCAAGATTTATTGTCAGACTCGAGTCTGAGAAAACAATTTTTTTTGAACATTCACCTCCTATTTTGCGCCACATCCACATTTTGTGCACAGGTGACTGTGGCTTTCACAGTGGAAGTTCATATTTGTTTTTACGTTATTTATTAACAAACTGGTTGCCTACAAAATTCACTTTTTTCCGTATCTTTTGCTATATTATATAATGAAACCTGAACTTCCAAAACCACTTTTCAAGCAGATTTGAATTCAGACTTGAGACGCAACGAAATTGTTTTTATCGCCATCTTTCTTTTTGTATGTCGACTACATTTGAGGAAATTGAGTTAAATAATTATAGAATCATAATAGAATATAGAATACTGGATCACCAAATAATTACAGAAACATATAAAACTCGCGATTGCATGATTGTCGCCAGGACAAAGGAAATAGCGGTATGATCAATTGACATAACTACCGCGCGAACATCGAAATTTCTAGTTTTAAAATCGTTCTGAATACGTTAGTGTGTTTGTTATTATACTTGTCAAAACATTGCAACGAAGTTTTGGGTCCGAAATGATTCGATTTTAAACCGCATTTCGCAAAACTTATTTCATCTGTAAACCTGAATGTTATTTAATTTAATACCACAGTTATGAGTAAAATCACCTAGCATTTTAATTCACGTTGGCACAAGACGCTTGAATCATCGTCACAGAACCAGGTGAAGCTACGACAATTCGTCCTAGTAATTACGATGGTACAAAGTATCAACTTCGTCCAGGATATGGTTATTGTGGGTAAAATATTTCGCTTTTTGCTTCGTGTCTAAATATTTGAGCATTTTTTATCATGTTTATATAAAATTTTAATCTTTTGCTGCAAAATTTCAATGATGCCATTCTTTTCATTGAACACACGAAGTCACTTGTGTTCTTGCGTTATCTCAAAAATATATCAAATAAACAAAGGTGATTAAACGACATCTACGATGATAGGCATTCTCAGTAACGTACGAGTGGCACGCATAATGCTAAGTACAGGCAAGTTATACAAACGTTTTGTATAGTACCGAATAATGAAATGTGTTGCAATGCAATTTTGGAATAACACCTTCTAAGGAGCTGGCATCTATATTTGTTATATTAAATGCAGTACCGGTACTCCAAAAAACAAAATCCATAATTTTCGTAATTTCTTTAACGAAAATGAAGAAATTAACCCTTAAACTTTGTATAAGATTTCAATAATCTAGGACGCTTTGCGCAAAAACTTTGTTTTCTCCAGAACGAGATGAAGACTTTTTTTTTTGGCCCAGAATTGTGTGAACCAATATGGAGGTAACTAATTTTGTTCGCCTCTTTTACATCGAGTTGTGTAAAAGAACTGAAGCCTATGGGCAGAGAGAATATTCACCTGGCTAACACAAATAGTCCCCGAACTCGTAATAGAACTAAAATAAGTAAAATCGGAATAAAATTATAGCCTAACCTTAATCTGGTACACACACTACGGGAGTACCTTTTTGTCGGAAATCTATTAGGGTTTATAACGATTTTTTTTTCAGATGATACGCGATTTCATAGCTTAAGATTTTTCTTAATGCAGTTATAAAAATGGAAATTTTTTTTTTTTGTATGTAGTGAATTTCTATACATCGAAAACATGGCAACAAGTAACTCAGTTCCATTTTACCGTTTATTTCATTAAAAAAGAAAGTGAACAATATTGATTATAATAAATTTCGCCTGAAATTGAATTAACTGCAAGAATTGAGATGTTGATGGGTCGAAAGTTTTGTCAGTTGATATTTGGCCATATTTAAAATATAATAAGTCGGGCGTTTCTATTCTTCTTCTTGTCCGTGAGTTATGACGTAACAAAGTGCTTTGTAATCGAGATTACCAGCGACATCTACCGGTGCAATTTCAAGAACTTGGTCAATTTCTTCTTTTGTAAACCTTTTTCCTTGTGTCATGAACATTTCTGTGAAGACATCTTTGTTGATGACTCCGGTATTCTCTGGATCGAGAATCTTGAAAGCTTGTACAAGAGTATCTTCTGGATCAGTACCTTGAAGTTTATCGGCAAGCATGTTCAAAAAAACGGTAAAGTTAATTGCACTTGGTGCTTCCAATATCATTGCTTCCAACTTTTCCATCTTGATGTCTCGTACACCGAGAGCAGAATAAGTATCCTTGAGGTCGATCTTGTCAATGAAACCATCACGGTTGGCATCAATCATAGAGAAAGCTTCTTTGAATTCTTGGATTTGATTTTGGTCGAACATAGAGAATACATTGGAGTTGGCTTTTTGTTCTTTCTTTGCTCCCTTCTTGCCTCCTTTCTTTGGTGCCATTTTGATAATTTGGTTTTTGTATTGAACAAGATATGAAAGCGAATATTGAACTCGAATGATATTTCAGCTTGAATCGCATGGCTTATATGCACTGTATCTTAGCACCCTTGCACAGAAGCGATCGCATATGTTGTCACTCTATTGTCGAAGTGCTAATGGGACTTTGTATAAAATTTAATCAACACCTTTTTTATATTTTTTCGTTTGCACCACTCAGTACAAATATTCATTCATTCAGACTGCTTCCTATTTGTGATTATGACTACGGTCGTGATTTCAACTGTAGGATATCAGCTAATGCCTATAGAACCCAGAAGTATTTTCAAGTTGGCTGTTTTTATTCGGAAAAACACAGATAAAAATACTTTTAATGTATATTTTATTTTTTGTTATCTCATATTCCCAAACCAGTATCAATTCGTGAATGAATTGAAAGTATAGACTATAGATGCATTGATAAATTGCGCGTCAGCCATCCACAATTCTTGACAATTGGCAATACCTGGAAGCCCACGTTACCGAGAATGCTGTGTTTTTATCATATTTCAGGTCGCAAGTTACTACGACTGAAAGAAGAAAATTACAAATATAAACAATTTAATTGTTTACGTATTTCTCGACCAGATAAAGACAAAAGCTTTCTTTAAAAATGCTATGACGTCTTTTCACTTGTTTGGTTTCTTTAGGAGCTTACATACTACGTGCGACGATATTTTTGTTGTGGTTTTAGCACATCATGGTCATAGTGTCATGTTCTAATAGTCTTACTATTGAGCATGGACTAAACACATCTATTTATAGTGTAAATCCTATTTGCTCAGACGTAAACAAGAATGTTTTTGCCAAAAAGAACAGCAACATTACCCATTTGAAGCCATTTTAAACGTGATGAATAAGATAGAATGAAGTTATTTTGGTGGCACGAGCTTGGTTTTAGATCGTATGCACAATCATGTGTTACATAGCATAAGCATCAAGTACACATCATAAGCTATTTTTTTTAATAAAAACGTGATATCAACAGCTAGTTAAGCCACAAGCCGATAAACGACTTATTCTTGAAAAAAGTTAACCATACTGGTTGAACATGTAACTTGCTTAGAAGCCTATGTTTATCAACCTGACTCGGACACGCTAGTGAATCATCCATTATCAAGCATTACATCGTAGATGAGTAAAATTCCAGTTTTTTTTCTTATGTTCGACCATATATCTTATTTACCTTTTTTTTTGTACCTCATTTGTTGTTGACGCGTTTCACGAGAACTACCTATGTGCAGTTGATCCAATGTGAACAGACTTTGTGAGCTAAAGGAGCTGTGGTGAGCGTGGTTGCATTATGAGGTTAATATTCAACATGACGTATATTATTATCCAACGTCCCAGAAATTAAAATTTTTATTTGCGCTAATAAGGTTTGAATTCATGGTATTGCAAACATTATACCAGCGCTTTACCTGCCGCATAATCTTACATTATGCTGATAAATCGCTTCTATGTCGTCGGGAATGTTTCAAAACGCTCGAGGCTGCGAGACGCCGAGCACTTTTTTCTGGAATTCAGTCGCCATTTTGTTGAAAGTGCACGAATTTTGGGCGGTTCCACAATCGATTTGGTCGTAAGAAGTATTTTAACTTAGTATATTCACCACAGAAGAATGGACGAATGCAAACTAAATATTGTAGTTGATGCAATCACATCGCGGAATTATATAGATTAAAGGTGAAATGATCTGTTTATTATGCCTCTACAACGGGAGTATTGGGTGTGGTTTTTTCGAAATCATAATTGAGTAATATACAGTTTCACATTTGAGATGAAACAACTAGAACTCAAGACAATAAACACAATTCGAAAATTGTATTTTTTTGCAATACGGTTGTGATTCCTCTCTCCATTCCCTATTTGAAGAACACCAAGATTCAGTGGAATTGGCTTGTAGATTGAATGGACATATTATTCTATTTTGAAATTCGAGAACATGATATTTTTAGTTTCGTTGATTTGAAGTATTTTAACAGATTTCTACCTCGAACAAAAAATCTTAGATAAAAAAAATCACATTTCACAACTTCCTACTTGAAGACAATATTCTACATGAATAATTTTTCTTATATTGCAGTCAATTCTACATAGATTTTTTATGTACATTGTATTTTTAAAGTTCAGTTTATTCTACAGATTGAATAACAAAGGTAGGACAAGGGTAAGCAGAATTACACATTTCAGATTCCAATTTGTTTGGAAATAAGTTCGATAAAAATTCTTTGCTCAAGTTTATTTCCTATTTGCTATTTGGCCCGCAATTAAACGTATTTTAGGTTTATTTGTGATATAAATAATTGCTCGATTGTGCAGATAACTTGAAATTGCAATCACTATTTCACCTATCTTCGAAAAATTTGACACCGATTCAAATATTATCAGAGATGAGTTCAGTGTATTGAATGTTGAGAAATTCCTGATCTGAATTATCTTCAACTTGCATTCCCATTTCATTCAGGCGCCAAGGTGTTTTGGAATTTCGGCAAAAATGAGGAAAATCGCCTGTGTGATTAATTTACTTTGTCTATCAAAATGTAATTTTTGTAAGTCATCTTTTCGTAGAATTGGCTATAAAAACGATTAATGCTTTCAAAATGATTGAGCCATTGCAAATTTTGAGCCACTTTTTTTTTTAAATCAGGTATTCGCGCTTATTCATTGAATAACGACATAAGAAATATCCGTAGAATCGAGCCGTGGTTATTTTGTTCAACTGTTTATTTGTATGTAATTTTTTAAACCATTCAGCTTTTCGCACGATTTTCCATTGAAATTTCACCATGCGATCCATGTCGTCTAAAGTTAAACTTGTATATCGAAATTGCTCGAGCATTTAAATGTTACCAAAAAGAATAACAAACATTAATTGAAATATAAAATACTTCAATATTGTCAAATGCATGATTTTGCAGCCAAATGTATAGGCTTAAAAAAGTTTGTTGACAATGTTTTATTTCTTTTTATTCTATCCCTTTCTGCCTATTCTAACGCATAAAACGAAGTACGCAAAGGCCAACAAAATTAAACTCCCAGATTCCTAAATGTAGATTTTAAAATGCCATGAAATTAGTGGGGAGAAGTTTAACCCAAAATGGTAAGATTTGAAAAAGCTGCTATTAGAGAATGAGCTAGAATAATTTTTTGAGTTGTAAGCTACTGCAGCAACTGCCACTTGAGATACTTTCGTGAACATTGCCCCAAACTATGATTGAATACCAGCACTCATATCTTGGATATTTCTTCAAATGAAATTTTTTTCAAAAGATTTCACTTAATGTAACCAAACTAGTCGAGAGATTTATGCAAATGGGTATTTTTGTAATATATTCGCATTTTAGGCATTGTTTACGTTCGTTGTATCAGATCATGACGTTGATTATAGAATAACTGAAAATTTATCATAAAAGAATTGTTCCTCGCTCAGCATTCTCGTTTTTCGAAATGATTTAGAACCTATAGCAGGGGTGGCGAACCTTTTTTGATGAATGGGTCAAAATTTATTTTTATTGTGAAAAAACAGAACGCGAGTCATAGTTATTTACTCAAAGTTCGCATCAATGAGAAACTTGCTGTTACATTTTCTCCGCAAGTCTTATGACCATGCAATCCTTGGTTGATAGTGTGTAATTTTAGGCTTTACACATACAGCACTACGAGGTCGAAGGCGATTTCTAGTATTCGACTTTTTGAAATGCATGTGCGAAAACACGGATTCGCATGCCTACGAATAGCCGAAAAATGTTACGGTAAATCATTCCATCCATATACTTTCGGAAGAGTTTCCAAGGAATTTCACTTCCACGCGTTTAAGTCACTACCATCTGTCTCTACTGTTTTTTCATATTTTGGTGGTTGTTAAATAAAGTCAAATTCAATTGATTTTTGCCTTCCAAATAGCATTGTATGCGAATAATAGAGGAACTGCAAAGTTCTCGTATATATGCCCCCCCCCCCCCCCCCCTCTTTGGTTCATACATTCCCGAAAAGAAACTGCTTTTATGAGATAAGTTGTTAGAAATGAACAGAATAATTGTATAGCTATATCATAAACGTTGTAACAGCATTGATGGTTCACCTGTTATTAGGTAAAATCAAAGTCGGCTCTATCATAAATTTTTATCACCTAAATATTAGTAAGTTTTTCGCTTCAATTCGTGATTTGGTGAGTTACCCAAATATATACCGTGCCATACCCGCAGATTAGTGGTTTGACATCTCTGATCTACAGTAGCAGTAAAATGAGAGTACATATATGCTCGCACAAATTCTATTATATATCAAATGATATAACACAGTCGATTTTAGAAAGAGTTGCTGTTCCCCGATATAGCTCGTCAGCAGCAATCTCAATGTTTCGGGCTTTTGTTTTACTGTAAATATATAGACTGATACTATTCCATGATACAATTTCGGAATCGGAACATTATATTGTTCCTAATACCAACTAAAAATATTGCAAAACAAGAGTTTTAGATATTTGTACGCCATTTTGTTGTTTCTGCGTAAGTGTCCACCATTTTCAAACTTGCGTGACCTATTAATTAACTTGTTCATTGAAAAAACTATCCAACAAACATAATATTCAGAATAATGCTATTAATTCCTATATTGTAAGGATTACTCAATTCCCTTTTTTCAATAGTAGTTCAAGTTGTTATATCATTAATCAATCATTTGCGTCCTGCTTATTCATCATGATCACGGCTTCTTAACATGAAATCGAAATAACAGAAACTGTTTCACTTTACAAAGATAATACTTTTTATTTTTATAACCTCGTTCTATGAAGACGTAGAATATCCTGTTTTCCTCACTTCAAATTTTTCGAAAAATATTTTGTCACAAATAAAACTAGATACAACAATACGATACTCGTACATAAGCACTTGAAATAAAGTCTTAAAATTTTTTAAAATTGCAAATGAGAATTTATCGATACCATATATTGTTTTGGCCCTCACAGATGTATTAAATGAAGTGAAAATACTTCATTACCGATTAAAAAACAACAAACC